TATAGTATAATATATATATATATATATATATATATATATATATATATATATATATATATATATATTATTAGTATTATATTATATATATAATTAAAATTAAATTATAGTTATTATAGTATTAGTAATTATTAATTACTAATATATTATATTACTATATATTATACTATAATACTATAATAATATATATATTACTATAATATTTATATTAATTAGTAATTATTACTAATAACTTAATAATATAATAAATTATAATAATACTAAATTATTAGTAATTATATTATATAATACTATTGTATCAATAATTTATCGAAGATAAAAACAAATTAACTATCAATTTTGAGTTCGGACAATCGAAGTTCTACTGTAATTGATTTTAATTGTTTTGTCTTTTATAATGTCTTCACATTTTACTTTCAACTTTTTTGGAGAACAGTTTGTCAATTGCGACAGATTGCAACGAAATAATAATGTAAATAGGTATCCGAGGCTGTGGCTGACAATGATAAGAACAATGGCAGACATCGTTAAAAATGCTGTCGAAGATAAATTCTGATCCCGCGATCATTATTCGATTGCCGAGGCGTGGTATACCTATATGCAACCATAGTTTTGTAACCGATACTGTAACGTATACACCGCATTTGCATTAATGTCCATATTCTGTGCAACGCTCCACCATTATCTATGCGCAACATTATCTCATTGATTACTGCACGCTACCTTGCCGTTAAAGAAATGAATAATTCGAAAGGAAGAAGCCCGTAGACTCCTGAAAAAGCACCATTATTTACCCGTTCTAGTACAGCGGCCAGCAAAAATGTTCGTACAGCTTCTAGAACGTAATAACTTTTTTAAAACTCAACGAAGTGACTTGAATTTCCTTTAGTTGATGGAGAGACTAGTCTACTAGACGATGACTGAAATGCCTTTTTTAAATTTGTTATTACTTGGGATGATAAAAAGAGAAATAAAAGACTCTCGTTTTTCAACCTTTTTTATCCGAACCTATAACAACAATTTAAAAAATGCCTTTCGGTTAAAGAAAATCGGTTGACCCAGAGTCGAGCTACAGATGTTGAAAGATTTAAAAAACTGCAAATTTCTGTCAGTTTTTGGTGAAAATCCCGATAAAATTGCGATTTTTGCCATCTTTAATTTGACGTAAATCACATAACGTCAACTGATTTCGATACAATTTTCAGAATGCATTTATTAAATTTCCGTTATAGGCTCAGTTAAAAAACGAGTGTCTTTTTATTTTATTTTTTGTCATTTCAAGTAATAGCAAAATTTAAAAAAAGGCATTTCAGTCATCGTCTAGTGGATTAGTCCCGCTATCACTTAAAACAAAGAAAATTCAAGTCACCTAGACCAGTTTTAAGAAAGTTATTGCGTTTTAAAAGGTGTACAAACACTTTTGTTGTATACACGACATACTCTGAATTTTGGTCCATTAAACTGAATGTGCAAGTACCATAAGTGCCGATTCTCTGTGTCTCTAACATAACTTGCATAGGGTACCAAAAGTATATTTTGTTTATAGGTACTTTTCATTTTCAAGTACACAAAAAGAATATATTATACTGTTCCGAGTAAATTATTATAAAAAAAAATTACAAACGTACTATTCCCAACTATTTACAAAAAGAGATTTCACTAAAAGAACAACACCACAGTATCATCACCAGACTTCGGACTTTTATGCAAAATAAAAATTGCCCGCACCGATTGCAATATACAGAAGCTACGTCTATTTATTTATTCGTCTTTCCTCAATGATTTCAACGACCCGAGCATATACAATTCCGTAAATGTTCTCACTGTTTCTAAATACGATGTAATAATTTTTGCCATAAACCCACAAAATCCGCAGTCCAATCACCAATGCATCAGAATATTTACCGATTAACGAACGAGTTTGTCAATACAGGCACTCGCGGTGTTATCTAGAAGGATTACTCAACCATTTCTTTGCACCAGCCGGAGAAAATACAGCTTCTACCGATACCGCACCACGATAAAAGCGAACGAATAATTCAATTCGGTAGAAAGTGAAACGTTTCCGGAGCCGAGTGACCGACGTGTCGGCTCGTCGACCGCGGTCCCTGGACTTTTAACGATCGTCCTTTACGACGCGCGCCTCATTTTGGAGAACACTGTACGACGCAGAACGTATGCCCGCGGAGCGATCGAAGATGGCTGTCGGAGCACGAAAATACCCGTGTCGGGGCTGCCCCTGAGAAAAATGCTAAATGGAACACGGGGAAGAACAAGAATCGGCTTGCGAAACTCACCTGGAACGTTTCACAGCCCGATGGACGCGCGCTTGCTATCGCGGCTATCCGAGAACGGTACCAGCTGCGTGGTTTCTTTCGCACACGCGAGAGAAAGAGCACACGGATTGACGTTCGCGGCTCGACTGATCCACGCGGCGAAGCATGCTCGCGCGATCCATGATCTATCGCTGCGTTGCCGATACTTCTTGTCGGGATACGGCCGCCGCGTCGGATCTAGGAGAAAGAATAACCGCGCGATCTAGAGCTACGTGTCTATGCCCCGAGTGAAATTTTGATATTATTATTTATTTAATTTCGAATTCTCGTGGTCAAGAAATGGCACCTGATTTACTGTATTCGTCTTACGCATTTACAGTAATTTCTCCCTAATTCGCGCTCAGATTACGCATAATTTGAGGAGAGGAGATACGATTATGCGAGCCCTGCGGCTTGTTTTTATAGTTACCGGTTGTCAACAACTATAAAAACCATCCGCAAGGCTCGAATAATCGTATCTTCAATTCCCAAATTGTTCATTTTTGTGCACAATCTGAGCGCGAATTAGGGAGATATTATCCTACCGCGATTTAAAGCTATCCTCTGTTGTCCCCATCCATCATCTCTGTTCAGTGTGCGTGCTTTGGTAATTCTTCTACCATTTCTTCCTTTATCTCTTCTCTGTTTTTAATTTTTAGTCTTACTTATGTACAGTAATTTCTCCCTAATTCGCGCTCAGATTGCGCACAATTTGGGAAGAGGGGATACGATTATTCGAGCCCTGCGGCTTGTTTTTATACTGCGGCTTGTTTTTATAGTTACCGGTTGTCAACAACTATAAAAACCATCCGCAAGGCTCGACTAATCGTATCTTCTCTTCCCGAATTGTTCATTTTTGTGCGCAATCTGAGCGCGAATTAGGGAGAAATTATCCTACCACGATTTAAAGCTATCCTCTGTTCGAAGATGTCCATTGTCCCCATCCATCATCTCTGTTCAGTGTGCGTGCTTTGGCAATTTTTCTACCATTTCTTCCTTTATCTCTCCTCCGTTTTTAATTTTTAGTCTTACTTATGTACAGTAATTTCTCCCTAATTCGCGCTCAGATTGCGCACAATTTGGGAAGAGGGGATACGATTATTCGAGCCCTGCGGCTTGTTTTTATACTGCGGCTTGTTTTTATAGTTACCGGTTGTCAACAACTATAAAAACCATCCGCAAGGCTCGACTAATCGTATCTTCTCTTCCCGAATTGTTCATTTTTGTGCGCAATCTGAGCGCGAATTAGGGAGAAATTATCCTACCGCGATTTAAAGCTATCCTCTGTTCGAAGATGTCCATTGTCCCCATCCATCATCTCTGTTCAGTGTGCGTGCTTTGGCAATTTTTCTACCATTTCTTCCTTTATCTCTCCTCCGTTTTTAATTTTTAGTCTTACTTATGTACAGTAATTTCTCCCTAATTCGCGCTCAGATTGCGCACGATTTGGGAAAAGGAGATGCGATTATTCGAGCCCTGCGGCTTGTTTTCATACTATGGCTTGTTTTTATACTGCGACTTGTTTTTATAGTTACCGGTTGTCAACACCTATAAAAACCATCCGCAAGGCTCGAATAATCGTATCTCCTCTTTCCGAATCGTCCATTTTTGTGCGCAATCTGAGCGCGAATTAGGGAGAAATTATCCTACCACGATTTAAAGCTATCCTCTGTTCGAAGATGTCCATTGTCCCCATCCATCATCTCTGTTCAGTGTACGTGCTTTGGTAATTCTTCTACCATTTCTTCCTTTATCTTTCCTCCGTTTTTAATCTTTCCAACTTCCTCAAGCCTTCCCGCTCCTCCACCTGTTGCACAAAACTCTACAAGACTACTATGATTTACTGGCGAACAGTTCCAGGGAGCAGAGGCCATAGTTAAAATATTCTTCAGACATTACGATTGACAATCTGTGGCAAAAATATTGTCGATCTTGCGAAGATCTCCAAATTATGATGTATATGTCGTCCTTCGATAAAGGCGACGCCGTTGTTCTGATTGGTCGAAAGATGCAACCGTTGAAATTCATGTCCCGATTATACTGATCGCACGATGATCTATCGATCACGTTAACGGTTTCAAGCTATCTTTTTTTCGTTTCCAAGTTCGCGTGCGCCAACGATTTCCGTTCATTCTCCGTTATGCGGCATCGCGTTTAAGCAGGATCGCCAATTCTCCTTGCAAACAATAAGGAAAATCGGCGAGCAAACGTGACCTTGGCGCGACTAACAGCCACGATCTTCTCCGGTTCGTTTAAAATGGAAGCCTCTAAGCGCGACAGGGCCGTCTCAACGGTGGTTTCTTCGGGTATCGCGAATCTTTTCGGAAAATTTCAGAGTCTTGGGGAAAGAGTGAATTCGATTGCGAAAGGGAAATTTCGAGCTGAGAAAGTAGGATTAATTAACCCCTAAATTATTAAATAAGGAAAATCGGCGAGCAAACGTGACCTTGGCGCGACTAACAGCCACGATCTTCTCCGGTTCGTTTAAAATGGAAGCCTCTAAGCGCGACAGGGCCGTCTCAACGGTGGTTTCTTCGGGTATCGCGAATTTTTTCGGAAAATTTCAGAGTCTTGAGGAAAGAGTGAATTCGATTGCGAAAGGGTAATTTCGAGCTGAGAAGGTAGGATTAATTAACCTCTAAATCCTTAAATGCGTACAGTTGCTAAGATGCAACGCAGTAAATTTCACGCTTTAAAAATAAATATGAAACTACCGGATGTGCACTTGACGTTTAAAAATTTAGCGAATGCCGCTCTAATCTCGCGGCGACATTCAAGCGTTTTTACCTTTCTTTCGTTTTTAAAAGTTATGCATTTAAAGTGCAGGCGACCAAAAGAAGTCGCTGGAAAGAGTTTTTACATTCAGCGGACCGTCGCGGTCACATTTCATAGTTGAACAAAACTGAACATTCATTATAAGGAAATGTTTTGCTCTGCGCAACGTTGCGCTTTCTGGCAGCGCTTCGGTGGCCGGTGATTACAAAACCACGCGGTCGTCTGATTACGAGGGACCGAGTGTTGTTGCATTACTTCTGTCCGCCCACGCAATGAAGCTGAATTTAGGTGGCCCAGCGAATTCGGCGGGGAATCAGAGCGATCAAAATTAGGGTTCTTCCGCGCGATCGTTCCGCGTTTATGATTTTCTACCGGAAGTGATGAACAGATCCAGAGGGCGTACAAGTTTTATTCCAGAATCTTCTTTACTTCCGGTTTAGTCAATTACGATTCCAAAGTTATTTTCATTCTCAAGCTGACTTTTCATTGAAATATTAACGCGTGCAACTACACTTATGTGAACAATAAAAACGTTTTTGCGAGTCAAACGAGATTGAGAAACCGTACTTCGCGCCACAGCCTCCCAGCGGAGCTGTGAAAATTTCACATTTTATAGCGGAAATTATCATTTTGATTTTCAATCTAAGTTTCCAAGATTGGACAGCGACACAGCGCTTGAAGATTTCTATAACGGGGATGATTTACCCGTAGGGAGTGCTGAACAAGGAAAACTTTGAGAAGAGGAGCCAAAAAGAAAAAAGAAATTGATAAGCCGTGCTCTATATGAAGCCACGAACTTCCACCATTATTTTTCGGCACTTCCACTGATTTCCCATCGGATACACGGATTTCGTCGCTGCATTGTCCTCGTCCGTGTTCACACAGGATCTCGCAATTGAAAGTACTTGTTGCGTGAATTTTAAATTTCCGTTTCTCGGATGAAAGAAGTTCCTCGTTCTGTGTTCTTTCCGCCGTGCTGAACTACGTTGGAACCGAACATTTTGGTTAATATTGATCTGAAAAGAGTTTTGTCGGACCTTGCAGCAAGAACGGTTTCAAAAAAATTGTAATCCGAACGAGTGAGATAACACCTTATCAGCTAGTTCTTACAGAATTTGGAAGGCAGCGAAGCATGAGAATTCTTTTCGATAATTATATAATCGGATTACGTATGTTGTGACAGAAATGTAGTACATCAAATACGATGTAATACAAATATTTAAAGAACATTTATTAACCTTAACTTATCGAAATTGGTAAATGAAGAAATGCACTTTTCTTTCACTATTGTTTCTTGAAATGAACGCAGACAATTTTTACTACGCTGAAAAATCCGCAGGCTATTGATCATTGCATGCGTTTGCTTCGAGCTCTATTTTCAATTTGGCGCAGAGGCACTCGCTTGTTCTTTCGAAGTAGATAATCGACGTTACAATTGCAGCATGAACGAAAGTCGGAATTAAAGAAGATAAAAACGAGGGAACCAAGAACTCTTAGACAAAATATTAGAGACGCGATTAACAGAAGGGAAGCGGACGTTAACAGACATCTTCGACAAGCGTAAAGAAAAAAGGTTTCGTTTTCTCGTATCTGGTTACAACAAAGGGGCAATTTAAAAGCTCGGATCAGGCTATTGCGTGTCCGTAAAAGCACGCGACGACAATCGCCGATTGACACCGTGGTTACGGTCAATTAACGAATGCCCAACCAGCGGACAAAGCCGCGTCATTGCAAAAATATCTGCGGCGATCGTTCGCGGATTGACATCGTCCCGCCCGCAGATTTCCCATCGTCGTTTCCATTTCACTCCTCGCCGTTTTCATGCCTGTTGCTCCGTGATCTCTGGCTCCGACGGTTTCAGACATCTATTTCTCGATATCGAGAAATAAATCAGACTTTTTCACGGGTCCAATCGTTGGCCGGATACCGTAGATTGAAGAGCTCGAATGAAAGTCGGAATATCGGTGGAAAAAAAAGAGAGAAAAATCGAAGGGAGAACACGGTGAAAAATTGCGGAGAACGTTCCGCGATAAATGCCAGGCCCCCGCCGTCACTATGGAGAGCCACCTCGAATTTAATACAGAAAATACTTACCGCCCTCGGGAGAGAAATTTATGTGATTCGATTGGCGGGCATCAACGATCCCTCGTCTTTTTACGATTAATCGATACACGGCCCGGAACGCTGGGAATTAATTGGATGCTTTATCTGCTATCGGCTGGCTGCACCTCGGTATCGTAAAGGATGCACGGCAATTATTTGTTCGAGGGTGCTGGAGAATCCTGCACCTGCCGGCTAGAGATATTTTCTGCAACTATATTCTACACTGCAGATCTGAACTTTCTATGTTCGAAGATTGTTCGACGAGAATCGGTCGAATAATCGAGAAATAATCCTTTCTTGTTGGGATGACATGAAAGTTGCTCCCTTCACGTGCAATTTAATAATTATTCTGATATGAATAGGTGAACTAGTTTTTATCGATGCTATTATGGACAAAAAAATTAATTAAAAAAGAAAATTTAATTATATTATTATATTATTATATAAATTATTATATTATTAATTATTAATTATTATATTATTAATATAATAATATTATTTATATTATTATATTATTATATAAATTTAATTATAAGTGCTATAAATATAGGTATACGTACAGTTTTAAGTTTTATCAGGACAATGATCCTAAACACAAGGCCAGAATTGTACAGGAATATTTATTGTCCAAAATTACTGCATCCTCCTCCTCGATCGCCTGATTTAAATCCAATTGAAAATTTATGGGATCAATTGGACCGCAAAATTCGTACAACACCTACAAGGACAACAACAGAGATAGAGCAACGTTTGTTAGACGAATGGAAACGGATTTCGTCGGATTATTTAAATAAAATCATCTGTAACATGCCCAAACGATTACATGAAGTAATAAAACAAAAGGGTCAACCGACAAAATATTAATATTACGATAACGTGATTAAAAAGATTTTCACTTTATATAAAATTAATATAATTCATTCACTGTCCGAATATTTTTGCGACGTTAAATTTTGTCACAATCTTGTTTATCGCTTATTATACAAAAGGACGTGTGCAATAAGTAAACAAGATTTATGTTTCTACTTACTTTAAGAAGTGCTTTATTATATGAGAAAACAATTGATTCAATAATGCTATCGTAAACAATAAAAAGGAGCAATAATTCTTTTAACAATATCGTGTCCGAATATTAACGCGAGTCACTGTACATTAAAATGAGCAAAGACCAATGAATGTACGGTCTTAAATAGTTTAAAAGAAACATTTTCTAAAAATTAGCTAAAAAATGATTATCAATAAGTAACGAATTAGAGAAACGAAACTATACAATATCTCGCCTAAATAGAGGCCAAGGAAAATCCTACTCGTAGAGTAGAAGAAATTCGCTCTTTCTCGGACCAAGATTCCTATCAAGATAAACTGTCACGTATCGGATAGATTATTTAATACAATGCATATCTCAGTGTCAGTAACACTTGCTGTCGTGAACCAATAAGCCACCTCGACGAGTGCTATTATAATAGCGTAGCATAACAGTTTCTCTCGGCACTGTAATTGAAAGGAATGCCATCAAGATTCCAGTGTACGTAACACAGTTTCCGAGCCGCGTCGATTTCTTTTTCATCGAAAAATTCCGATGAATTACACGTGCCCGCCGCCGTGGATTTTCACATAGTCGCAAATCAGCCAAGAAATTAATTCCACCTGCACGGTGTGGCGTGCGTCTAGTATTTATTATTATTACCGGATTCCATGCGTACGCATGCAGAACAACATGGGGAACTTCGAGCGATCTACGTTGATCCGCGGGAAATTGATCGTACGAATGAGACAATGCCGTTAGTCGTGAACGAACGTAGCCGGCCGATAGGCGATGTTTCTCCATTGTCGATCGCCGCGTTAGTTGTAATTCTAACGAGCGTTCGGTTCTTTCATCGCGCTGGCCATTTGCTGCGCCGGGCGGAAGTATGCATGGTCAGCTGATACGTATGCACGCGGGAGCATAAATCGGCCTCGGCGTACGTCGGTATGTACTCCGATTGCTTATTCGAGGCGTGGATGCCAACTATACCCTGATTATGCAAATATTCGGCGGTAATAACATTAACAATGCCGGCGACTTCATGCATGCGTGAATCCCGATGCCTTCGTCCGAGCCTCGGCACGCTCGGCATCGGATCTCGGCGGATCCCTGTTAAACGATCGACAATTATTTATCGCGGACCTATTGGCATCGTATGTCGTCGCGCACAGTTCTGTGATTGACATATCGAGCGCTGTGCTCAAAATAGTGCGAGAATTTCGTAGCGAGCGTCTCACTCTTCTCCGTCCGAAGTTCGCCGAAATCAACTGCAGACTTAATGCGCTCGCGATGGACGCCGGAAGACGTGAATTATTCCAGAACCAAGGATATCAATTTTAATTCGACGAAAGGAAGCTCTCGACATCGACGAAATAGCTCTCAATTAAAAAGATAACAAACAATAGTTTTAGAAAGGAAAGCTTTATCCAGCAAGATCACACTCGAATAACAACTAACTCTTCTTTCGTAATTGTACGCCTGTGCAAAAAAGATCTGAAAAAATTCAGGGACAATGCTTACGACACCACGCATTTGAACTTTGTCCTCTACGACCAGGATCGTAAACTTAATTGCGTTGCGTATTTTACGTAATTGCACTGTTATTATTTTCTTCTCATTTTTATTATCGCTGCTTTCCCGTACGAGTTTTCTTTGTATCGGAACGGCGGGCCATGTTGGCATTGCCAGCAGCACGTGGTAGCCAGCTGACAGCTGGTTTGTGTTGGCCGGCAGTCGCCATGACGACTGAAACGATCGACGCACAAGGGCAATATCAGCTTCGCCGATGTTTCGTGGTAGCGGCGTAATGCACCCGGTGCATTTGCAACGGGAACTGTGAAATTACGGTCGTTGGGCAAAAAAGAAAAAAATGGTGGTCGTTGATAAACGTAGATCGCTGATAGTGTCGACCGCTGGCCACTTCTTTGGCGTTCCTGTGGACGACGGTGCGAACGATGAGGCCGTCGTTGACAGTGAATCGGTGCTCGAGAATTTCTTGGACAGAGCCACGTGTCGGACGCTGTGTGCACAGCCGGCTGGCAACGAGGACAACGAAGTGCGACTGCAATTGACTAGCGAACTACCTGTCGGGAAAAACACCTTGGTCTTCTTCAAGGTAACGAGCAGTCCAAAATGGCGGTCGGTCGAGGTTGCGAGGAAATTAGGGCTGTTAACCCAAATACGTTCCTTGGAAATGGAGAACACAAAATAACGTCTATTTCTCATCGACCTCTCGTCAGGGTGGAGAAAGCGATTTCATTTTTCGTTCGACTACGTTGCGTTGCATTTCAAACGAATATATTATGATGGAATCAATAATGATATATTGTTTATCTCACCAGCTAATGTTTACATTATAGACGCGCGCGGTTCGCTAATAAGCAATTAATATGCGATTAATTATTTCGTAGATCGAAGAATACCGTGTGTATAAATAACAGCTTTGAAATTGAAAGTGTGTGGTCACGTTAAAGTGCAAAGTAGCCGATGATCGAAATTGTTAATGAACGATCTGTGGAACATGCATAATGTGCAATTAGGTATACAGAGCGTAGATTTATAATAAAACGAGAATTTTAATCGAGATTTTCGTAGCTGATTCATTTTCATTGATGTTGACTCCGTTAAACGGAATAATATCGAATCGAATCAAAAGCAATGAGAACGAAATTGTGTATGCGTTATTCCACTGTTTTTGCAGATCCAAATGAAATTTTTTGGTCGTCGAAAATCGCCTAATCCTCGGCATTGTTCAAACCTCACGAATCATCGAAAATTTACGGCATATCTTATCTAAAAAAAATCATAGCTCGAATAATATTCCAGATGCCAACGTGAAGCGACCGACATCATGCACGCAAAAGTTGAAAGTTCAATTGAAAAAATATAGCGCGTTGCAGAAGCTTGTTATCGTTGCGTTAAAATTTATTTCGATTGTTTTTAGTAGATGGCGCACACTTTCGAAATTAATAGTTTAATTATTCCTGAAAAGATATTTGACAGGCTTCTGTAAGTCGAAACGCTGTTCTAATTAGATTGATATGATTTTCAATAATTGTTTATACTTATCTGGGATTCACAGTTGAAAGAGGCCGCCGTGACAGAGAAGAACTTCTACGACCTGGTCCACGTGACGTCGACCGGCAGCGGAGAAGGATCCACATTGATCGAGGCTCTTCGACAAGTATGGGCCCCGACGTTGCGTTCTTCCGGTCTGAGCCCGTCGTACCTGAAGAGGTTGGAGGAGAACCTGCTCGGCTCGCCGATCACAACTTCCGTCTTCGAGGAGGAGGATCACTGGCGGAAGAGATGGGAGGAGGCGAAGCGTTCGCACGACAAAACGATTTTCGCCGAGGCTGTAAAATCCCTGAAGAGCATCCGAGCCGAGCTCGAGAGCGCGGCGGTGGCCAGGTGTCGTAAAAACGAAATAAACCTGCCGATAAACCTCTCCCAACCGGATTCCAATTCGCTGGCTAGTTGATCCGCGAGGCTATACGACGATATTATGCCCCCGTTTATTAATGGCCCGTGCTTCCTGCGATTCCGAGGACTCTGGAGACAGGAAGGGAGAGATTCAATTGATTAGATTGCCCCGTAAAGTTTGTTTACCGGGGTCCTCGCCGGATTGCGAATATTCCTGCCAATTTACGAGTCGATATCCGAGTGGCACTTCAGAAAGCATAAATATTTTGTCCTAGTAACAGCAATTATTTCATTGTTCTATTTAGAAAGTATATTACCCTATAAATTGTCCTATTAAAAAGAACATTGAATATTTAATGATCGACGTTTATCAATCAACAACTAGCATTATTATTAAATGCGTTTGTGAATTTTTAAAACATCGTACTTATATACTCAACTATCTTTATAGGATATTCTTGTATTTCTTAAAGATTACGTTTTAAAACTCAAACTGTGTCATGAATGATTGAAATAATAATATTTGTGGAAAGAATGTCGTTACTTGTTGATACTGCTCGATGTTTAGAAGATCTTTCAAAGCGTTCCCTAAATTAATTCACGGTATAATGGTTGATCATCGAGTAAAGCTATATTGGAACTTTTTACCAGAAACGAACTGATCGCGATGGAGGACGCCGTGGAGGCGGTTTCCGGTTACGTGGACGATTTATGGAAACTAGGGGATCCTGTGTACTCGGAGGATCGTATGAAGTCCTTCCTGGACATCGTTGGAGACGAGGTGGTCTCCCTGGTCCAGAATGTCATGGAGGAGGTGACGAAAGTTGCTCGAAAATAATTTATAAAGCGCACGTTTGTCGCGAGTTGCCAGCCTTGACAACGACGACTATTGTTTTTATCCGGCGTCGATTCTAATTACATCGGAAACGAGTGTAAATTGCATTTAGCTTTAGCTGTAATTAAAAGTGAAACCGAAATTTTAATGATTCGGCTTGGCTCCAACTTGGCTGAATATTCGCTGCGATTGTAATCGAATTTGTGAATTCAGTGGTTGAAGTTGGAACCGAAGTTGGTTACACCCCAAAGCGATGTTGAAGTTTCGTTGCAAATTCAAACTAAAATTAACACTTTGTTGGATGAGATTGTAATTGGTTTCAGCTGGCAGTGACGTTGAGTTTCAGCTGATATTAGAACCGCGGTTCCAAGTCCACCGTAATCCGAGGAAACCCCAGAAACCGGACAAAGATAACCAGAATATTAAACAATAAAATTCTAATCGGTTTCTCGAAATCAGATGCGCACTTCCGACGATCGCGCGAAGATCGAAGCGATCTCGATCGGTGCCGGTATCTGCGAAAAGTGGACCAACATGGCGGAGAAGTTCACGATGCTGTTCTGGCCTCATCATTCTCTTCATCCCTGGAAAGGGCCCAGTCACATTCCTCAAAGATGTGCGATCATCGGTGAACGACTCAGGTATCCAGCTCAGGTCAATCCTCTCGTGAATTCTAAAACGAAAGCGAGTGCAATGTTCGTGATCTTTAGACAGATAGCGGAGCTGTGTGCCCAGTATCGGCAATTAACCAGGCTGCTAACGCAGAACGAAAGATCCGGACTTGGCACCGACACCTTATTACAATACTTCGACGATGTCAGAGGTATCTGCCATCTTCCCCTGAAAATATTTCTCCGATGAATTAGAATGTTTTATCGTTGGTAGCACTCCAAGATGCTGGAATAGTTTAACATTCTAACAGTATGACACTCTTCTATAAATACATCGACGTTTCTGCATTTGTCGCACGTTCTCTGTTGCGCGGCTCTGCGTAAAATCTAAATTGCGTTCCACTAATTAGACTTCGACGTTCGCGCGGTTCCAAAGATTTATACTGTATTTAAATGTTAATTACCGTCACCTCGATCGCTCGAATTTCGTTTCTGTACTCGAACGACGATATATGCATTCCCGATGCATTTATCACCGGAAATCGAAAATATATCGGTACAATTAAAGAATATTTGTCCTCTTGCGTCTACTTAAATTTCTTCGAGAAATTACAATGTTGCGTACGGAGAGAATTTCATTCGAATCAATGAACCGTTCGATGTCGCGATAAAAAGAGGATACGGTAAAGCGATAAAGTATTAAATTACTCTTCACGGTTGATGCCAGTGGTGTTCGACGACGACGAGAAAAGCACCGACTGGAACCGGCTCAGGAGAAAGGTTGAAGAGGGTTTGGTACCTGCGGAGGAACGGGTTGCTCAGAAGCTGAAGTCTCAGATTGCCGACGCCACCACCCCGAATTCTTTGCTCGCCGAGTTTCGACGTTACTTCGAGTTAATGAAGAGGGAAGGCTTGAAGAGATCCTTGAGGGGAGAACGTGAAACCCTGCTATCCGCTTACGGGGACCTTATAGGCAAGTTTCATAATCTTCTGGTTCCCAATTGTTCCCTAATTGCATACGCGAGCTCTCGTTTCGGCAAAAGGGCTGCGAGATCAAAGCCTCGAAGCACTAACGCGTTAATTAATCGTTGGAACGGCAGATAACTGTCTGGCCGGGCCGGATACAGGAGATCTCTTGGACAGTCCTAAAATACTTCAGGAAGTTCAAGCAGCTAGATCAGCAGAGGCACGGCTGGAAAGCTTAGATAAACTAGGGAAAGAGCTGCTGGATGATCTTCCCGGCTACGAGGAGGTCTCGTCGAAGGTGATAAGGGCTCTGAAAGACGTCGAGAGAAAGCGACAGAGCTTCCTCGAAACTTGGGTGAGGATCTCCCTTATCTTTCTACGCTTCTGCTGCATATTCTCTCCTGAACTTCGAGACTACAGACATTGTGAATTCATTCTTTGCACGATCTTCGGGCCGATTTCGTAGATCGAAATCGTCGACTGTTCTTCAGTTCTTCTGTTTCCTTCGTTCATCCAAGTTCGATCGTTTCTTCGTGGCTCGCAATATTCGCAGTACACTGAATATCATTCTTGTATATCATTATATATATTATATCATTATTATTATTCTTGCATATCTTGTATATCATATTCTGAAAATCATTCTTGTTTGTCAAAGAATAATTGTGAATTTCTAACGATAGTTCGCGATACTCGGAGAATCTATGAGAATTTATGTTGTACAATGTATCCAGCAATTTTTATGACAGTGTCACTTTAAGGGAAATACAGTAATTTCTCCCGGAAATGCCAAATTTCGGAGTGCTGTGAATTTCCATGCGCTCGTTTTTATAGTTACCGATTGCCAACAACCATAAAAATGAACCGCAAGGCTCGAATAATCGTATCTCCTCTTTCCAAATTGTGCATTTTTGTTTCAAAGCTGAGCGTCGATTAAGGAGAATTTATTGTACTAGTTATACGACCGTCGAATCGTGGCATATGGCCTGCGAATTGCCTTCGAATCGTGTCATGTGGCCTTCGAATTTCCTTCGAATCGTGTCACGTAGCCTCCGAATTGCCTTCGAATCGAGGTAAAAAATTGGAAATAAAAAAGTTAAGTCATCGTTTGTATTCTAACATTACTATGTATTCATATTTCATGTACACCGGCATGCTGTTCGCTGCCTTTTTTTGCCGACTGCCCCGAGTTTCTCTAAAAACGAACCGCGAAGGATCGCGACTTAGTATTCTCAGATCTGTCGAACATATCTTGGCGAAATTACTGTACCGAATAAATTCCTCATAAATCGTTGTTTTAGTGAATCACGTTGATCTCTAGAATGTAGATTCTGGAGTCGAGAAGTTTGCAAACTTCTGATAGATAAATTGCCGACTTGTTTGACAGACAGAGGAGACGAAAGAGGCTGTGGCAAGGAAGGAGCTGTCCCTGGGCACCGATTCGGCCGTGGTAGAGCTAACAGGTACCAGTATGATGCGAGTGACGTACGATCCCCGATTAATGACGCTGATCAGAGAGGCGAGAGCGCTGTCGAGCCAAGGTGTCGAATTACCTCGAGAGGTCAGGGACTTGGTCGAGAGAGCAGGAAGTTTGGCAGGACGTGCCAGGGCTCTCCAGCAGGTCGCAACTTTTCACAACACGATTGGGGATCGCATGGTGCCATCCCAGAGGCCATTGATGCTCACAACTGCTCTGGAACTTGCTCGAGCTGTTCAGGAACAGTCTGGCGTCGTTTGGTCCGATCCTATGGCTGTTGACGCCTACACCGCCAGGTTGAAAGAGCTGGTAATTAATCACGCGATCTATAGTTTTCCCTTATTTCGCTTTCATATCGACGAGCTAAAGCGTAGAAGAAGTTAGGTTCGTTAAGGGTACTGTCGAAGCAAAATTGACTGATAATAATAATAAATAGGATAAACAAATCATAAAAGAAGTAATATACGTCGAAAATGAAAACAGGGCTTTTTGAGATTGTTATTTAGAAGGTCCAAAGGTTCGTCTCGAAACTCGTTAATTAATATTCCAGTGGACGAAACGTGAACTTTGCAATTTCCAAAGCTGCCGCAGCTGCGAAGTTACCCGAAATTCGCGCAACGTGTTTAAAATTGCGGAGGGGTTGTTCCGCGAGTTTCAGGAAAAGTTTCCAACGAATTCTATGTTGAACAGGTGAGGAAGTTCGCGCAGCAAAACTCCGATCTTGCTGCGAAGCACTGCGCGCTCCGTGATCTGGTGTCGAGCTTGCTGAAAGGAGAGACGGTGAACCTGATTGGTAATCAGAATGCCTGGAAAGACGCGTTGATGAACATGAGGACGATCGTCGATACCGTCGAAGCGGAATATGGGAACACGAAAGCCTGGAAACTTCACTGGGACAGACAGTTGTTGAAAGCGTTAGGAGTTGCTTACAGGTAACTTAAGCAGAAACTTTGATCCGCGACGATTGCACTCGGACGAGTTGCCAGTCGCGTATTTGGACCGAGTTTGATCTCGAAGCTTCCATCGAGCCTCAATTAAACCAAATGTCTCCAGTTTCCGAATATTATTTGCACCGGTAGTTGCACTGTACGGTAAATTCTCTCCAATTGACGCTCGGATTCTGCACAAAACTGGACAATTTGGGAAGAGGAGATACGATTATTCGAGCCTTGCGGCTCGCCTTTATAGTTTCCAAAATTGTCCATTCCTCTGTCAAAATTGCCCATTTTTATGTACAATCTGAGCGTCGATTAGGGAGAATTTACCTGGTAAAGTTTACTCTTCGAGTTCTCTGTAAATTCTACTTTAATTTCGACAGAGAAAAGAGAAAGGAGAAAAGATTTTCTGCTAAGTTTGGTGCCAACACAGTAAATAGACTTGTCTTTTTTGTTGACAATACTGCGGAAATGCAAGTAATTCATATAATTGTACAGATAATATGTATATTATATGAAAATACAAGTTATTCGTAACTGTACATGTAAAATAATTATTTATTCAATTCATATTCGTACGCATAAGGCACAGTTATCTTCGTATTGCAAGCGTAAATATTTTGCAGCGTCCGAACAACTAGCCTGCAAACCTTCATACAAAATAAAAATTATTCATCAATGCCAATAACAGACGCCAGACAGAAAGTTCTTCTTTCTTAAATAACTTTAACGAGTTAAAAACGATGTACAACCACGCTTAAATACTTGAAATTTGTCTACTCTTTTAAATCTACTAATTATAAATGCATCAAGTTCATTGTCTATTAATAACACAAGAAAAATATGCCTAATTATCGCAGCGCAAGTTTGATGCAGTTCCGACCAAACAGAGAAAGTGAAACGCAAGACGGTGAAAACATAAAAAGAATCTATCGTTACTTTGCTGTCGAAACGAGAATTTTCTCTCTCTTAAACTCTGCGCCTTAAAATAGGCGCAGACAATTTTTCTGTCGCATAAAGATCCACTATTTAGTAATTGCGCATCCGAAAGCTCGACAGCTGAGAAGAGCTAACGAAAGGATAACAAAAGAAGAGCCAAGTTTCGAGAGCATTCTGAGAACCGCGGTGATCGAGCAGAGGCAGCCGTTTATGAAAAAAGTTTCCAATTTTCCGCGGCATTATCGTTTCCCCGCAGCCCAGTCTCGGCTCTAATGAGTTTCGAGCGTTCTACGAGGCATTTTCCCGATCGTAATGCGTAATTTTCATATTCATGCTGGATCTGCATAAAGGGAGGCGATGGAACAGGCTGATTCGACGTCTCCTCTATTTTCCTTTTTTCCTTTTTCAGGGGCGCGTTGCCGTCTCTGTTGAAGAAGTTGCCGGACGTTAAAGCGGAGCTGACGTTCCGGGATGGATCGTTGCAATGGCGGCCGTCGCTGGAGGAGATCCGCGCGAAATTGTACTCGTCGATCCGTCGATCCCTCTCGATCCCGATGAATTTCCGCGGGGTCGGCGACACCGTCGATGCCCGATTCGGCGACCTGATTCAAAGGAGCGGCTATCTGTTCGGAGGCGTCTACAAGCAGGCCGAAATTGCTCTTTCCGCTCTGGAAACGCTCCGAACGAAATGGCTGTATCTCGCGGCGCCGGCGAAAATCGACGCTGCTGAATGGTACTGGCACGAAAGTAACTCGCAATTAACCGGGACGATAACTTTTCTATCGGGGACGCTCGATTTCGCGCTCAGAAACAGAACTCCCTCGTTTTATTTTTAGTTCGAGCCTCGGCGTCGATCGTTTTTCTCGAATTGCTGAACGGATCATCTTGTAACGTGCGGATCCATCACGAGATCCACCGACGCGTGTTGCTTTATAAAAATGATAAGACCGAATTTATTTAGACATCATTTCCTACGAGACACGCTTTTCATGATTTCAACGATTTTCAAATGAAAAATGCGGAACCGGTCCTTTCGACCAGTAACAAGTAATATTTGTATTCATAATATCAATGTAATAGATAAGAATAAATTCGAAACATAATGTAATATTTATAATATGCACGCGATTATAATTATATATTTTATTTATTTACCCGTATCGTCGGAGTTACGAATACAAATATTACGCGAGAAATCTGTCTCGCGAAAATCCTCGATGGCGAATGATGCGATGTTTTAACGTGTTCTCGTTGAATAGTATTATTTGGACGTGTAAAGGTGAACACCGTACCAGACGTAAATATCATTATTTTTATAATTTATACATACGTGTGTACATGAATATTTACGTTGCGAGATTTCCCTCTCCGCTTTCGAACCGGGCGAGCTATATTGCGGCAGCCTTGGCACGTCTTTTGCCCGCGAAACGTCCATTATCATTTTCTCTATAGACAGTTAATAATACGAAACTTAATTAAATGATACGCCGGAGTCTCTTTTTTTCACGGTGGATACGCAACGAAGTAGAAATCCATTCGTTGAAGACTCTTTCAATTAACGAGGAAGAATCTACTTCGGCGTGAAAAATGGAAAGGGGTAATGCTTTCTCGAAGATTGATGTATCGTTTCTTGTTGAACAAGATATGACACGTAAAAAAGAGACCCGGATGCGCTAAATTGGAGACCAAATCATTTCTTCACGATGTTTGATCTGTTTCAATGGGAAGTCTGAAAGGCCGATCGCCGCAGGAGTGGACGAGAGCATTCAAAGACGCCAAACAATGGGCTCAAGAGGTCAGTGAGTAATTAAATTCTTCATGGGTTTCCAAGAGCATCGCTGAATACAGCGTGGCTCGCACGAAACGGATGATTAAATCACCTTCGGAACTTCTTGAAACACGGTCTCGATTACTTGAACAATTTCAAACGGAAACTTCGTTTCTTCACAGCCATTTTCAATCCTCCCTTTCCAATTTTATTAACTCGCTGCACCACGATTTCTTTTACTGCTGATTACCGTTACGTTGATCGGTACATCTTTGTTGCTAATAAATGTTTACACGAGAAAGAACATTTTTATCTCGTTTAGTACAACATCTATTTAGTGTTAAAATTTTGTTAAATTTAGCGTTAAAATCTATTCAGTGTGCTGAAAATAGAAACGTTGGATTTTGTTTCAATTTAAAATATTATTATAGTATGAAGGATTATATAGTAACAAAAATTAGGTACACGCATTTCGTCACAAGTAATAGGAAAAATTGACTCAATCTTACAACTTACATTCCGTGCAGTTTGTCCATTCGCAAAGTCTACAGTATGTTTTTAGCTGAACCGTGTCTCGCGCAGCCATGAATATTAAAGAGTTAACGAAAGCTACCGTCTGGACATGTTCAGCACTTTTGGTAAATTCTGATTTTAAATTAGGTGGGGAAATTGCGAGGCAACGAGGTGAAAATCTGGTGCATCAGCGTGGACACGTCAACGACCAGGAGCGACTTAGAATCGGCATCCCGTCGCTATTGGGAACGTTTATGCTCCGATTTAAGGGTGGAAGCTTCATCTAGATTGGTAGCGATCGTCGAGTTTCTTTCGTCCGCTTCAAAGGAATTGGAGCGCAGACCCAGGAGCGTGGAGGAAGTTGGATTAGCTTACGAAGCTCATGCACGAATCGAAAAGCAATCCTCCGGCATGGCCGACGAAATGGAGGCCATCGCTGGACTATCGAAGGTCTTGGCAGCTTGGACCAGCGAGAAACTGGAAGGTGATCGGATCGTTCGATGATTATCTCAACCCTTGAATAAAGTTTGCTCGTCAAACAAAGCACTCCCTTCGATCTTCGTCTTACAATAGTTGCTTAAAATGTCTATCAATTCACTGAAACAGGAGTCACCGCGGCTTACACATCCTGGCAGGACCTAGCCGACCGTCTGGAACGTCACAAAATGGTGGTAGCCCGGGAACTAGAAGACGCAAAGGTGAACCTCCGACACCGAGGCGTCGCCTTGCGAGACGAGATAGAAAGATGGCAAACAAAATGGTCCTCGAAGCCCGAGATCCTTTCATTGGATTGGATAATCTCGATGAGGGAAAGATGGACGAACCTGAAGGAACAATTGGACGTATTGAAGACCGATTGCTGCAGGGTCGAGCTAAGCATCGACGAATTATTAGAGGACAACGAGGAAACCGTGAAGAATCTAGAGCTACAGCTAGAAGTGGAGGAATCGAACTGTCGGTTCCAAGCGGAGTTCATCGAGGAGCTGAAGAACCAAGAGGACGAAGAATGGACCGTGGCGAGGAGAAGGCTGCCTCGTCTCCACGACTGGTTGGACTCCTGGGAGAACAGGATACGCGTTCAGCTGAAGGATCAATTGAAGGAGGACTCCTTGGAGCAGAGGGATAGCCTCGAGGCCAGCACCTTCGTTGGCAGGAAGGTTCGCGAGATACGAGGTGGCATCGAGTGGCTTCAGCTGCTTCGCGGTGACGAGATAGCCGAGGAACATTGGGGAGAACTCAGGGCCGTTTTAAACCTAATCGACGTCAAGAACGTTAGAGACATCACTTTGGGTCACCTGCTGCGATCCGTACAGAAGATCGAGGAACACTCCGAGAGGATAAAGGTATGGCACTTAGGATTTTGGTAAACTGAAGATGGTAAGAAGTACCATTTATTTCTGACAATTGGTGCCTTAAAAATGTCTTGACATTCAAAGCTGATGTCAAGATTATGTCATGGTCATGTCAAGGTCGTGTTAAGGACATGTTAAGGTCATGTCAAGGCCATGCCAAGGTCATGTCAATGTCATGTCAAGGCCATGTCAAGGTCATGTCAAGGCCATGTCAAGACCATGTCAAGGCCATATCAAGGTTATGCCAGCTCATGTCAAGGTCATATCAAGGTCATATCAAGGTTATGCCACCAACTAAAAATGGTTTCTTGGTGCCAGTATTATTAATGCTTCTATTGTAGATGGAACTACAAACTTTTTCTATTTAATTCTGATAATCTATCTCGAGGATTGGTACGTAACTTTTTTTTTCTGAACTGAAAACAGTACTTGAGTAGGAATTATCGATGGTGCAAACACCGATAAATATCTCCTTGCTTCCCTAGAAACTGTTCTTCCATACTATTTACTTCCGACAATTCTTTCTTGGGTATGATATTTTTCTCAAAACGAAACTGGTTCAATAATGATGGTCTTTAAATAATAAATTTAACCCAGCTATGTTCTTTAGTTCAAACCACTTTCGAGCGACGAAATATTTCATGATGAAAGGTAGCGCACGTGGCACGAATAAAAAGAGCAAGATATGTTCGTGATAAATTTTCCTCTCGTTCAAAAATTCGGCGAACAGAGCAGCTTCTAAATACGTAGAAAATCAGTTACCTAGATAACTTCTCGCCTCTAAAAACACATACCTTACACAGACCTTTACAAATTCCATGATTTTTACCGCACCCGTGCATTGCGATCACCCAATTTCACATTATCCGTGCCATCATCGATTCGCCTGGGCGAAGGACCACGTGCAAATCTCGCGCAACCCGTAGGTTTCCGTATCGAGTTGCCTCGCTAAATATAACAATATTACCGTGCAATTTGGTCTCCGGTTGAAAGATGTACGCGCGTGGCGTCCTAATAGCCAGGTTCCAATTAAAACATTGTTCCACGCGCAACTTCGTCACCGCGTCCACGGTGTGTAATTTTGACATGCAGGAGATCGCGAGGCGGGCCGCGGCAGAGAGCGGAATTCGTCAAGGGCTGATGGAGCTGGAGTCCTGGGAGGCATCCGCGCATTTTCAGCTCCAACAGTCAAAGGACAGCAAAAACGTCGGCATTCTTCTCGTCGAGGAGTACGGCAGTTTGTTAGCGAGGTCGGGTAAGTCTCGTGTTGCCGTTTCCTGAAGCGCGTGTGCCGGCGCGAGCACAATGAGCACGAGTGGGCTCCGCCGGCGAAAGTAATTAGGTTCATTAAACGAAAGGTGAACTGAGGCTGTTGCTGGAGGGCGCCAAGGGGGCGGCTGGATACGAGAGGTTCGCCGCGAGGGTCGCTCGATGCGAGACTGGACTTTCTGAAGTGGAGGAGAGGATAAAGACGCTCAGCACTGTGCAGAGGAAGTGGGTCTATCTGGAGCCTGTCTACGAAGGTGGAGCTGCCCCGAATGACACCGGCAGGTGGTCCAGGGCCAACAAAGAGTTCAGGTGATCGTCCAGGTTCTAGGTTTCAGCTGGAACAAGGACTGCTGTAATCCTTGTTGCTTGGCATCGTATGCAAAAAATTCTAGCACTAATTATGTACAAGGTACCTGAGGCCATTTGAAGTAACTTTCTCCTCAGCGAAATTGCAATCCGCGGCTTTGTTTGCGAGTTATCAACGAAAAACAGTGACCAATGAAAGGCGAGATCGGTTGGCGCGAAGCGGTCGAACCAATGAACTAAACTGGGCGTCGACCGCTCGTTGGCTGGGCCGCTTTGCGCCAGTCGAGCTCGCCTCTCATTGGTCAGTGTTCTTTTTGTTAATAACTCGTGAACGATGGCTCGGAAAAAATTTTTGTAAAGGAAAATGTTACTTCGTATGAGCTCAGGAATCCCTCATTTCCCGGAAGTACCACAATTTTCGTATTAAAACACCAGATGTCTCAGCTAAACGAAGCTATTTAAATATTTTTGCGAAGATGATGTTACAAATTTTGTTCACTAACGCGAATATGAGTAGTCTGCGGATTTTTATGCAAAATAAGAATTGTCTTCATTTGTTGCAAGAATCGGAAATCACGTAGGAACTTCTTCCTTTCTTTAATAATTGTAGTTTGTTGAAAGCAACGTATCGATACTCTTTATTTCATTTACTCTTTCTTCTCTTTGAAATTATAGATACAGATTTTTGTCATAAATGCATGAAATCCGGAGTCGAGTGATTAATACACAATGTCCCTAACATTTTCATAGCGATCGTAAAGATTGTGAATGTTTAGGTACCTAATGGGCGAGGTGTCCCGCGATCCAAGGGTGTCGTCCTTGAGGAGGCTTCCGATATCAACCTTTACGAACCTGAAAGACCTCTTGGACAGGTGTCAGAGAAGTCTCGACGAGTACTTGGAGGTCTGTTTAAACTTATCGGATATAATAAGAGGAAATAAAAGGAGTGTTTAGTTGCAAAAGATGTTCCTTTAATTCCGCATTTTGTGAAACGTGATTTATTGCGAAAATTTCTGCACTTCTGCGAACGCAAATCGCAGAAACGCAATCGTTTAAACTTATCGGATACAATAAGAGGAAATGAAAGGGAAGCTCGCTTGCAAAAGATGTTCCTTTAACTCCGCATTTTGTGAAACGTGATTTATTGCGAGAATTTCTGCATTTCTGCGAACGCAATTAGACGTTACAGTCCAATAAAATAGGGCAGCTACTATTCTCAGTTTCGGCGTAGCGATGTTCTGTCATATCTTGGGCAACTTCGGCCTTTTCATTTCGGCGTGTTCACCCTTTCAGGAAAAGAGATCGTCCTACCCCCGTCTCTATTTCCTGAGCGACGAGGATCTTCTCGAATTAGTGTCAGCGCACGGCCGGGGCCTGGAAGCTCATCTACCGAAACTGTATCAAGGCGTCGGATCGATAATAAAGGACGATAATGGACTGACGGCCGTTGTATCGCCAGAAGGTGAAATATTGCAGTTACCGAGGCCCGTCGACCTCCGGGAGCCATTACCGCGATGGCTGGGCAATCTCGAGGATGGAATGAAAACCGCCCTGCAACAGAGTTTAGAAAAATGCCTGGCCGACAGCTCGCCCGACCCTTCATCCTACCCGGCACAAGTAAAACACGCGATTAGGCTGTGTTCTAATCAGGTGTCGCAAAACGCAAATATGCTACTGCAGACCTGAAATAAACGAATCTAGCTTTCTTTCGAACGGCGGACCTTTTTGACAAAAATATTGCCGAGCATGCTTACGATCATTTATAATTTTATTCATCAATCTTTCTCAACATATTTTTTAAGGTGGTAATTCTTCTAGACACTTCACGTTTTCTGTAGATTTTAATAGATTGCGTGCAAATATTAATTAATTGTCTCAAGCTGGACAATCAAGTAACTAGACGTCGGATTTTTAGGCAAAATAAGATCGTCAGCATTAATTGTAAGACGTGGGAGCTAGATAGACGTCTATTTCTTTTTCTAATAATATTTATTATAGTTTACAATTTAGCGCAGAAATGCCTTTGATGAATACTGTTTTATTTAGATTATGGATTTTTATGGGAAAAATGAATAGCTGAAATATAAAATTATGAAGACATAAAAAGAATTTAATGATACCGTCACAGTATTTTGAGCTTGTCAAAATCATTGAAAGAAAGAATTCATTTTTATTTAATTTCTGTTTAATGGTCTGCATGTTTTGCATAAAATCCGCGGTTCACGAATAACAAATAATATCTTCGCTACATGTTCATGTTTCTTCTTTCGCTGAAAAATACAAAATCGTAGAGTCGCATAATCGTCGTGAAACGTAAGTGGAAACCTTTTCAGCTTTGTGCACGGATCCTACTGTAATATGGCAACGGTCTTGTCCCGACATCTGATTAAGATACAGCATTGTTCGACGATTTGATGCGTTTTCTCGGCGGACATAATCTGTTCGTTCCGAAGGTCCTGCTGTTGGCGGAGAGGATTCGATTCGCTGAACGATGCGAGAACGCTCTGAAAGAAGGTCGTTCGTCTTTGAAGAATCTCGTCGACTATCTGGAGACACAAAGGGCGAGATACAGGGGCCTGGAGGATGCCGGTGACAAGCTGACTGCACTGAAAGCTCGTGGGCTCCTTCTCGACACTGTCCATCATCTCGGGACAGCCAGGAATCTCTTGAATGTCACTGTTCAGGGAGAGAGCACTGTTTGGACGTGGCGGAGACAATTGAGGTGCTATCGGACCGTGAGTGTCGCGATCTATCCTTGATCTTACGATCTATTTGCCGAGGGTGTACGAATCTCAAGTGCAAACGTTGGGGCGTCCAAATCTTTTCGCTGCAGAGCTTCACTTATCGATGCAGCCACTTGTTCCTAGTATCTTTTAGTGAAAAAATTTTAGTTCTATGAGATGTTGTAAGACGATGCTGTTTGCTTGCAGGAAGGTCTATCAAAATGTATTGAATTTGTCTGTCTTATTATTAACACATTGAGTGGCGTTGAAATACATTTTTCTGTAATATATTGAACAAATTGGATGCTTTAGAACGCAAACGAGTTAAACTGATATTTCTTATGATCAATTTTAACTTTCTAATTTCAGTTTCATTGATAAAATGATGTTAATATTGTGGGAAATTTTGGAGTTGATATTCGCCACACTCGATAGATTAGTCCGACACAATCTTACCACAACAATGTAACATTTTAGTTATATAAATTAACATCGCTCATGCGTTCCAATGAAATTCGTAAAATTAAACATAACTATGCATTGTTACGACGCAGTACGGATCGATCAGAATTCTTCTGGAGAAAGCAGAAAATGCTGAAACTGTACAGACATGCACGTCAGCGCACCCCATAAGCATTAAAGGGCTCGGTAGAATAACAGAAGATTTATGCAATTGTAGAAATTACGGCTGAAGAAATTGTTTTCAGAGTAAGGGACCGGTGGTCCGCTGTGCCGGTGCAGAATTTCCGTATCGTTTCGAGTATCAAGGCGCGGCAGCCGGTCTGGTCCAAACGCCGTTGACGGAGAGGTGCTTTTTAGCTCTGGCACAGGCAATGAAGCTCGGCCTCGGTGGCAGTCCGACCGGACCAGCTGGAACCGGGAAAACCGAGAGCGTAAAAGCTCTCGGATCTATTCTAGGCAGACTCGTTTTAGTTTTCAATTGCGACGAAGGTAATAATCCGACGTTTACCAACTCGAAATCGATTTTTACGCCTCCACCCACGCCCACTTGCGTTCTCCCACTTCCCCTTGAACTCCTATTAGTTGGCGCTACGTAACTTCTTTTGTCCTTTGCCCACGTGCTGAGGAGAACGAAAGGCGGTAACGGTTTTCCGAAACCTTGACATTCTATTCATCCTCTCGCTTTCTATTATAATACAATGAACCGTCGTTTTCGTATTACCGGAACAAAATCGGCTAATTGTACGCGAAACGAGACAGTATAATATTTAGAATGAGACACAAAAATTCATAGTCAAACAACGATATAATTGCGGGGCAAATTATCGGCTACGTTTGAAACTCCATTCGATGTACATAGTTAGTTGACACAGGTATAACTTAAAAATAATACTTCTTCAAGTATTTCTTCAAAATCACGTTGCCAACGAGATTGACACAAGAACGTTGGAAATCATCCCAATTGTTCGATTACTTCTTTAGCCTTTCGGCAGCCAACAAGCCTCAATCAAAATGAACCTGTGCCATAATAGAAACGAACTTTCGAACTTGCATAAAAGCTTGCAAAAATGAATGATTCCTAGGAATGGACGCGGGTTGCATGAGACGAATCTTAGGCGGTTTGGCACAGGCAGGCGCATGGGGATGTTTCGACGAGTTCAATCGCCTCGAGGAGGAAACCCTTAGCGCGGTCGCCATGTTGGTTCGACCACTGCAAGAGGCTGTCCGTGACGGTGCATCGGAAGTCCTGTTGGCCGATCAAAGGGTGAACCTCGATCCCCATTGCTGCGTGTTCATCACGATGAACCCCGCTGGGATCGAGTACGGTGGCCGTAGGAAGCTTCCGGATTCTCTGGCGAGGCTCTTCAGGCCTGTCGGAATGGCGCATCCCGATAGATCGGACATCGTGAAAGCGTTGCTGGAGTGCGCCGGATTCTTGGACGCCTCGACGCTGGCGAAACAGCTCGTCGAGACGCTCGACATCGCAGAGATACTGCTCTCTAGCCAGCCGCACTATGACTGGGGTCTTAGGGCTCTTAGATCTGTTCTGGACGCCATTCCGGTGAAGACTGAACTGGACGAGACCAGCAGGTCCTCTTCTTCTTAGTGTTCTAATTTGGACTTCTAGGTCTTTCTATTCTTAATATCTTTAGTTTTAGTTAGATTTTCAGATCTTTTGTTCTTAATATTTTTGTATTTAAGTAGACTTCTAGGTCTTTTTGTTTAAGAACTATTAGAAGAAATATCTAACAGACTCCCTTCTTCTTCTCAATATTTTTGTTGGACGAGACCAGCGGGTCCTCTTCTTCTTAGTGTTCTGATTTGCACTTCTAGGTCTTTTCATTCTTAATATTTTTAGCTTCAGTTGGACTTTTAAATCTTTTGTTCTTAATATTTTTGTATTTAATTAGACTTCTATGTCTTTCTGTTCTTAATATTTTTGTTTTTAATCTGTTGGGTCTAACAGGTTCCCTTCTTCTTCTCAATATTATTGTTGACCGAGACCAACAGGTCCTCTTCTTCTTCTGATTTGGACTTCTAAGCCTTTTTGTTCTTAATATTTCTAGCTTCAGTTGGACTTTCAGATCTTTTGTTTTTAATATTTTTGTATTTAATTAGACTTCTAGATTCTTTCGTTCTTAATATTTTTGTGTTTAATCGGTTGTGTCTAACAGGCTCCCTTCTTCTTCTCAATATTTTGTCCGTCTCTTCATCTTTATCTTTGTTACGAACTGAATGATTATTTTGAATTGGACGATACCAACAGGTTCTCCGCTTCTTCCCATTATTTTAATTGCACAGAATTCAAAAGTACAATACAAATTGATAGAAGTCGAAACTATCGCGGTGAACACACAGAATTGTTTGCAGCTTGCGCGGTGTGTCGTAAACGTCAGTTTCGAGGGTGTGAATAAATCTTCCAGGCTGGTGGCAGCGATCAGGGCGTCGACATTGCCGAAACTGACGCAGGAGGACACGACGAAGTTTCTCTCGCTGTTGGAAGACATTTTCCCGAAGGTGAACCCGTCCTCGTCAACATTCATCGACAGACTGGATTTGCAGGCTGTTTTGCAGCAGCTCTGTGCCGACCATGAGCTGAGCAACGAAATGGCAAACAGATGCATTCAGTTGAACGACCAGCTGAAAAGCAGAACGGGCGTCGTGATCGTCGGACCGGCGGGAAGCGGTAAAACAACCATAAGGAAACTTTTATGGGAAGCTCTAACGAAAATCGGCGAGACGGTCGTTGAGTTTCACGTGTATCCCGGTGCTATGCCTAAATCGAGACTGCTGGGTCGCGTGGATCCGCAAACTAGGTATTATAATAATTTTACACTGTTCACAATTTTTATATACACACTGACACAATTCAAGTATTCGCCCAGAATTACTATTTTCATTCGATTTATAGCACGCTGCTGAAGCAAAACAATTGATCTTGCACAAAGATTTACTATCTAGTAATTGTGCAGAGGAATTCCAAGTTCCTTTTTGAACAATTTAATGACTAGAATTTGGATAACACGTAGGCAATCAAGATAATCTGCTGAATAGTTTTGTGCCATTTTCTCGCCTTCAATTAGGAGTATTATTAATGCAAATTGAAAACGTTCCATGGAAATTCGTTTAAGGCCACGGAGCTTAGGCTAATTTCTGGATCGGGCTCAAAGCAGTTGCTTTTTAGTGGATTTTTTTCGCAACTTCACCGATAGTGAGAAAGGATGAATTATTTAACAGGGAGTGGAAAGAAGGTCTGTTATCAAGCGCCGTGACGTCCGCAGGAGAATCAACGACCTGGATCGTCCTTAACGGCGACGTTGAACCCGATTGGGCCGAAGCTTTAAACTCTGCCCTGGACGACAATAGGTTATTGACTTTGCCCAACGGCGTGGGAGTGAAGCTTGGCTCTGGGACTAAGTAAGCTCGCAAAATTTCCTCTTCGTTGGTTGATAAACTCAGCTCTCAGAACGCGAGATAAAAACCCGGCTTTCGTAATATCGGAACTGCCTATCAAATTCAATTAAGCTGTGATCCTCGTGCATCAACTTTGATACAAATGTCCCTTAATTCTAGATTTAGAGATGAGTACAAAGAAAATAAGTACTTATATGAGTAGAAAGTAAATGAATGCACACATGAGTAAAAAGTAGATGAATACTGAAGGAATAAATAGAAAATGAAAACTTAAAGAGTAAATAGTAAATGAAAGCTTAAATTGAGTAAAGAGTAAATGAATAATACTTAAATGAGTAGAAAGCAAGTGAATACATACATGAGTAAAAAGTAAATGAATATTGAATGAGTAAATAGAAAATTAATATTTAAACTGTAAATAGTAAATGAACACTTAAAGAGTAGAATGTAATTTAATACTGAAAGAGAGAGTAAATAGTAAATGAAACTTATATTAATTTATAAAAATAACAGTAAGACGTTTATTCTCAATTTTAATGAGTGTTATTGTATTATAACATTTGCCACAAGTAACACATGTATTGAATAAATAACTCATAAATGTATCTTTACAATCTGAATATGCAATCGTGAATTAAAGAAATAGCGATCAGTCATTTTCACGGATCCGGTAAACCCAGTGTTAATGTTCCTATTTTTTCATAATTCTACAGAGTCATAGTAGACATTTTTTATTCTTGTGTTTCTGTGCACAGGTTTATCTTCGAGACCCACAAATTAGCCGGCGCGAGTCCAGCCACAGTGTCGCGATTAGGGGTGGTTCATTTGGGTTCCACGATCCCCACAAGCTTGCTGGTGCCCTCGAAACTGACGAAGCTACCGGAAGTGGTGAAAGAAGTGGCGAACTCCCATCTCTGTCCCGCCATCGAGGAATGTTTGAAGATCAATCAAGACACTTCCTCCGCTTCCGGTCTAATGGACGCCGCACTCTGCCACTTGAGGACCGCCAATACACGTACCTCCGCTTCTTACGGGCTGCTCGCCTCCCTCTGCAGTCAAATCGGGGATGAGACGGCTAGAAACGATTTGGCTCGGTTGATCTATCAATTTACCGATTGCTGGCGAGTGTCTTCATTATTTCAGACTAAACGAGTTCGTTTACTTCACGTGTTCTTTCAGTACTATTTGCTGGCTGTAAAAATGAAGCTGATTTTACGATTCGCTTGATGAACGCGCGACAAACATATTTTCCTTTAACACGTTAAGTGTCGGAAATCGATCTCACGAATTTCCACAAAATCAAAGTAACTGAATCAATGACGCTGAAACTAGAATGTTGAAATTTATCATAGTGGATGGTACTTCGATTACTTTGCATTCTAGTCGCGTCCTTGTAAAATGTAGTTTGTTCGAATATATTTCAATGAGAGTGAATTTTGAAACTGTCAAAATTGATGTCAAAATTGTGCGGATTTTTCATCGGTTCAATATGAAGTAAATGTTCATCGTACATTTTTCAGTTGTATCTTTTCTTTTTCGATTCTTTTCCACTAGAGCTTGACTCAGTTCGTTGCAATCCGAAATCACAGGTGTCCAAATCCGCAGAAACCGTGTTCTGTGTTGTACAACGGAATTACCGATCGAGTGGAAGCTGTTCAGGTCGTTGACGACTCGGTGGACACGGATGACGGACCTGTTTTACTGTCAGGTAACGTTCACTTTTAATGCATTCATGATTCCAGCGAAACGAATACAGATTTTTAGACGAATAGTAATTAAAATTCCTCGCTAGACGACGATAATCTTCTGGTCAGAATAAAATGGGAAATGAATAATGGAGAATCGATGCTTCCTTTTACTTTGTAACTGCATTGTAATTTGTTCGAACCGTATAAAATCCACAGTTTATTTCTCTTAATATTTGAAGCTAACACATTGCGCTGAATATGGCAGCCTTTCTTCCCGATTTTCCTTCACTTTTCTGAGAGTGCATCGATTTCCCACTGGCATTGTCATTTCGTTTTTATAGGCGCCATGAAGGTAGCTCTGGCAAGCGTTTTGCCATGGATCCAAAACAACCAACCGATAATGATAAGGGGCCCAGAGGGTTGCGGGAAGACCACCCTAATATCCGTTATTCTCTCCACGATCAGAAGCAACGAGCCTTCGACTTTGATAAAGGGCTCGTCCCTTTACGGCGCTCAGGATTTGGTGACGAAGCTGAAGCGGGGATGCGTGCAATTGAACTCCTCTTCTCATGGGAGAACGTACAAGCCACGAAGTGGATCGAGAGTGGTCTTGATCCTCGAAGACATGCATCTCGCCTCCAAAGACTTACAGGTGACTTTCTTCTCATCTTCCGTCGATTCGTCCGACAAAATCGGAAGTAAAATCAGTCCTTTAATCGAACGGAAATTTATATTAACTTCGTAAGTGTATAAATGTTTAGGAGTTGTTACGCGAGCTGCTGCAAGAAGGAGGATACCATGAAGAGGACCTGGAATTCGCCAGGATTCCTCTGACCGTTCTGTGCACTACAGATGCATCGACTAAACTGCATCCGAGACTGGAGGCTCTTCTATCGACTCATTATCTACCGTAATTATTATTACTTCCTTGGGACTTCGATTTGAAAGTACTTTTACAATCGAGCCGTTTGAAGCAAAAGCGGTGTGTGTCAATTTTTTGCTAGGTTGTGATCTGCTATTATTAAATTAAAAGCTTGAAAGTGGCTCACATAAAACAGTTGTAACAAATTTGTGCGTTATTGCATGTTGCAGAACTTTTCATTCACCTTTCATTATCCACAAATGAACTTTTCTGACTTACACTAATTCTGCTTTCGACGGTTCAATTATTGCAGATACGATTATTATATATATAGTGGTACACTAAATTACTCTGGTGAGTTTTTAAATAAATAGAAGACATGTTGACTTTGATGACGACAGATCTGCAACAGCATATATTCGTGCAAGATTTGTCGCCCGTTTTTCACATTGAAGAGTTTGTTAGATACTGCACTCGTTACACCATATAATCAATAGTCGTTGAGCTCGAAACTGTTCATGGTATCGAAGGTATCCGAGCCCGAAGGAGATTGCCGCAGTTTTGGACCTGCATCTGAACGGCAGCTTAAACGGGGATCGCAACCTGATCGGATCCTGGATCGCGCAGATGGCGCCCGCCATATTGGAAGCTTTCGAACTAATGGAAACCTGTCGAGGTTTGCCTATCAAATGGACACCGAAAGATCTGATCCAGTGGGCCGACAGTTTGAAGTGTTACCCCGTTCCGGAGAATGAAACATCTATCACCGGCTTCCTTTTGGATGCTGGACGACGTCTCCTTCATCCCAGGTACCGCCTTCAAAACGTTGACCTTCTCATTTCTCTGAATCCTTTGCTGTTCCCCAAACACTCTATCGACAGATCGCGGAGTTTTTCTCAACGATAATGCTATTCTGCTCGAAACATTTCTCTACAACTGTTATACTTTAATCGGTTAACGGTTTTTTACCAGTATACTCGTCGTAACACAAAATGTTGCTATTTCCTCGTGCCGAGTATACTCGTCAAGAAACAGCTAACTGGTTAAAAAGAGTTAAAACTGGTTAAGAAGAATATATACTTTGATATTCTTCATTAAACTTACGTTTTACAAAAGTTTTGTATTTTCTCCGTATACCGTGATCGTTTACAGCAACTTGTACACTTTTCGCAGCTAATTGGTCGAGAGAGAAATTAATTGCAAATGCATGTTTCACTCTGAGGGTAGTTTTCACACCCTTAAAGTATAATCGATGAACAATAGTAACTTTTACCAACCTTGTGAAGCAGAGTCGTAAAGGATAACTCGGAACAGCCTTGATATTTTTTTTATCAAAAGCAGTGATATACAGGGTGTCCCAAGAACGTCTCGCAATCCGGAAATGTGGGGTAGCTGAGGTCATTCTGAGTACCTTTTCCCTTTGCGAAAATGCAATCTGCGGCTTTGTTTATGAGTTATTAACGAAAAACACATAACAACTCATAGTAATTACCCTAAACGCCTGAGTAGAAGCCTCTGAGTTACCCTAACTTTTTGTCCAACGAAATCCTAAAGAATGCCAGATAAAAAGCCACCAACTTGTCTCGACTCATCAACCATAATCTGTGAAACAGTTTCACGGATTTCGATCTTCGAATTTGCAAAATCGCGCTTTTCCACCACCGCAGATTAACGTCGAGGGATCAGTCACGCTGGGAATCGATGGTGCAGTCGAAAGTGGCAGGACCGCCTATGTCTGTGGGCGACGTGTACATATGGAGACGCGGTAATACGGGCTTATCTGCGTTGGACGAGGAACAGTGGAGAAAGGAGATAATTAACGCGGCTGCGAGATGCGCCAGAGAAGGCGATCCGGTGCAAGCGTCGATCTCGTCGCACCTGTTGCGCACAGTGGCCGGTGAGCGCATTTAACACGGTTAACTTTACGATATTTTGCAAACGAGCTTAATCCGGCTGATCGGTCGGGTCCTATACGATCGGCCAGCTGTTTCAACGAGGCCCTGCACTACCGCTGCAACGCGTTGCTTTAAACTATTAACCCCTTTGCCGCCTAGCGGTGTCGATGTTGCGGCGGAGCAAGCAGGATTTACTTGCAGTTACGTAAACTCAATTGACAAATGAAAATTTAATTGTCAGCACGAACTCGCGGCTCGAGAAACAGCTGTTGCGGTCTCCGCGAGATGCTTGGAGATTTGTTTTCAGGCTGTTGACACGTTGGCTCTTCGTTCGTAGCTTTTAAGACTCGGAATTGCAGTGGTTCAATTAATAGGATCGAAATTGCGGAGTTTAATTTTATTGTACTGATCGTTCCTTCAAGTATTTTGGGTCTTACAGATTCTAATGAAAATTGGTTTAGACCGAGTCGAAAATTAGAGTGATTACTGTTTTAGCTCTTTTAAGTTCTTCAATTCGAATGGAATTTAATTTGGCACTTGATTTATCGATCTTTTGAGTCTGAATGTTTTTAATGGCCAAAGAGTGGATGTTTTAGAATCTTCCACATCGGGAAATAAACTTTGAGCGATCTGTTTAAGGAAAAGTGTAAGACAATATAAGAAGTAGACGATATTATTCCTCTTCCCAAATTGTCCATTTTTGTTTACAAGCTGAAGGAAAATTTGGGAGAATTTACTGTAATTAGTTACATGACGCGGCACTTCCGTGTGTTTTTAATAGTTTGAATATTGCACAGTAGACTTTAATATGTTCTACGATATATTTTGCAATGCTCTATTTAAGAGTGTAAGCAAAGATTTCGATGCTTCCTGAAGGATTAAGTTGGGCCTTCGGCACGAGCTTGAGAGGTGTGATTTTAATTGGACGACCTGGAGCAGGAAGGAAATCAGCCGTCAGACTCGCCTCCATTTATTCTTCCCTTCGACTGGTGGACTCGGGACCTGGTACAGTATCGATCATAAAAAGCTGAAGATTATACTTTTGTCTACCGAGTCTATTTTATCAAAAGTTCCCGTAACTCCATTTGCTTTGTATTTATTCATAACTTTCTGATTTTCGTATGCATCGTATGAAATCGTACGAAATCGCGTATGAATTTCGTGTAAATTTCGTATGAAAATTATATGAAAATCGTATGAATTTCGCATGAAATCGTATGCATTTATGGGAAAACTGAATGTCCGATTAGCAACTTATTAAAACGACCGTAGAAGTACATTCTCATCTAACTTTTGTTTCTTACGATAGCTTCAGAAGATTTGCGCAGTAATGATCATGCACGTAGGTTCGTCCCACGTGTATGTTTAGGTGTCTATTAAGTGGTTAACAAGTGGTATTTGCCAGGTCGTGGTCGAGCATCGATGAAAGCGGCGGTCCAAGCCGCTGGTGTCGACGGCGAACCGACCCTACTTCTGCTGGAAGAGCATCACATGAGAGAAAATGGATTGGCTGTTTTGGCGAGCGCAATAGTGTCACGGGGCGAACTTCCAGGACTATTTACAGCTGAAGAACTGGACGGTTTAATAGCGCCGCTGGCCGACGTGGCGAGGAGGGAAGATTTCTCGGGCACTTTGGAACAATACCTCTACCACAGTAAGCAAACACCGACCCCACTTGGACAACAATACGGAGCAGAAATTAATTCTAATGAAAGCGCCGTTGCGTGGACCTATTACCATCGTCTCTACAGAGACGGAATCCACTGCTCTGCTAATTGTAGATTATTAACTATGAACAGTCTTCGGGTCTTCGAACATGATTCATCAATTATTTTAAGAGAAATTCTTAACACGTGACATGCTAGCAATTTTCTAATAGTTCTTCTAATATCAGCAATTGAGGATTTCTGAAAATATTGTTCACGACAGTACTTTAAACTCAATAAATTGGATTAAGTAGTGCGACAATTTCTTTTGAATACGGCATCGAAAAGAAAATCATCGAGCTACCTTTAGACACAGTTATTAAAAAGCTTATGTTATTATATAAGGTGTTATTATTATTATTTTCTGGTAAACTAATTTATTTGAATAAGAAGGCATCCGTTGTTAAACGTCTTCCAACTCGAAACTTTCAGGATTGAGGAACTACCTAAAAGTGGCAATGATCCTGGACAACGGGGAGATGAAATCGTCCTGGCTGACTCGATCAGGCCTATTGAAGCACTGCGGCCTGATCGGTCCGGGAATCGGCAGCGAATGGTGGTCCAGCGAAGGACCCCTAACCGAACTAGCCCGTGAACAAAACGGCGAAACCGAGGACTCTGTGGATGCTTCGCAAGGCGTCAAGGAGTTGGTCAAGGCTCACCTTCAAGCTCCGCGACAGCAGCAAGCTCCTGCTCGGTTCTTCGCGTTGCTGCACACCTGGAGACACTTGCACGTGACCTGGAGCGAGGACGTGGAACAGAAGCTGAACAGTCTCGAAGCTGGGATCGGGAGATTGAAGGAAGCCGGGGAACAGGTGGCGAAATTGGAGGATGAAGTCTCCGGGCAGCGCCAAGAGCTCGAGGTACTTTTTAATACCTGCCGCTGCGCTACGCGATGCACTTCGAATTAAAACTTTCGTAATTACTTTCGGAGAGGCTCTCTGGGCTCGTTATTTCGTGCGCTTGTTGCGCGAACGATTATATAAAATTTGCTCGCTGGGATTTAGAGAGAAATTGGAAGCGACGCAGAATTTTTATTGGTCCACTTACAGTCCCAGCGCGTTCTATACAATACAAACTATTTAATCTTTTGTATTTTTATAAATTGCTGTATGCAAATGATTTGTAGTGCGCTCGTAGTTCTTATCTACTTGGACCGGTGAAAAAATAATGGCTTAATTCTAGCGTTCCATTTTACATAAATCATTTTTTTCAACGATTCTTGTTGCTTGTCCAGCACTGGAAGAATTGTCTTGAGATAAGTAAAAGCAGCGCAAGCAATAAGATTTATATTACAAAATATAGATTTATATTACGAAATGTAGAAACTCTGACATCGTGCAAAGTACTGGCAACAATGTACAAGCTTTCGGAAGTTGAGAGGCCGCGCAATTAATCGTTGCATGATCGTCGTCTTCCAGGCGGAACAGGGTCGAGCTAACGCAGCTTTAGAACAAATTACAGCTACCATGAGGGGCGCAACGGGACAAAGGGGTGAGATGGCGAACCTGAAGGCCGAGACTGAACGGGAGAGTGCTGAGCTAGCCCGCAGGAAGGTACTAACCATAAACCTTTCTTACTACCACTGCAACAAGCCGGTTTGATAAAAAAGAACGTGTACGAAATTTAGCTGCTGTTCTTGTGAAGTATCATGGCTCTGGAAACCTTAGTCATTACTTTAACCGTCGTCGATCTAAACATTAAACGCTTTAACAATCTAGCTCGTACATGCTTATAAAACTTGTAGCTTTTACATAAGGCGTTTGCTTAAGAGTAAAATGCATAAAGTACAAAAGTATTCTCAAAAGTATGTTACTTTTGATCGATCACGACCGTTTAGACTTCTGACGGATGCAATACAGTCATTAAAGACGGTTAAGAAGGTGGAGCATCAACCCTCGTCTGACCCTCATTTTTTAAACTGAATTGGTCCATTGTTGGCAAATCGCCAAACGGTAAAAAAGGAATCCGATGAACAAGTAATCGACTTTGTGAATTCTTACATTCAAAAGGACGATACACTTGATTCGCTGTTTCATCGGAATTAGTGAATATCGCTGACTGCAATCGCAGAATGAGGGTTAACTTTTGTGTGAAACGCAGGCAGACATCGAGGGCGAGCTTGGAAAAGTGGAGCCGTTGGTCGAGCAAGCGGCTCATGCAGTAGCTGGCATAAGTGCTGACGCATTGTCGGAGGTACGTTCGCTGAGAGCACCCCCAGCGCCCGTTAGAGACGTCCTCGAGGGTGTCCTCCGATTGATGGGTATCAAAGACACTTCGTGGAACAGCATGAAGACGTTCTTAGCGAAGCGTGGGATCAAGGACGAGATCAGGTAGCGATTGTCTCTTCGGGAACGTTGCCGATTGATTCGCCGACTGTCGAGTTCGATTTCATTCTAAAATATCTCCGATCGATTCAGAACGTGGGACGCGAGAAGAAGCACGACTGCGAGCCTGGAGGCGGTTGCCAAGTTGGTCAAGGAGCGGCCGGAGAGTTTCGAGGAGAAAACCGCGAAGAGAGCTTCGCAGGCTGCTGCGCCATTGGCTGCTTGGGTTCTGGCGAACCTTCAATACGGCCAGATCCTTCAGCAAGTCGCGCCACTTGAGAAAGAGCAACGACTGCTGGCCGAGTATGTCCCGAACGTCCCCGGAACCCGATCACGCCTTCTTCTTCAGCTTCCGACAGATTTCTAGCTATAACTTTCGAGATTCCCTTCTTAAAGTCACGACGTCTTTCCTATTGAATGTTTAACCATCGGAGAACTGTTGCCGACTGATTCCATGAGGGTATTTTGGAACTTTGCCTTTAGATCGCGATACCAAACTTTACTTGCTCTTCTGAATCCCGTTTTCCTTTTCATTGTTTCCTTCACGCTTTCAATCATCCAAGATGTTCATTACAGTTGGATTCTAAACGTGTAGATATATTGTCCTTTGCAGAAAGTTCGCGGCAACTCGAAGCTAAACACGATGTTCATTATTGCGTGAAAATATTCTTCACAGTCGAAGGGATGATACTGGATGCACGTTGAATTCTGTTATTTTCTAACGAATTACGAGCTCCGATAAGAACACAATTTTTTTATAAATATCTATAAGAAAAGCTCTCCATAATCGTGTTAATACCGCAGGAGTCTGTCAGCGGCAGAAGCTCAGATAGGTAAGTTAGCAGCCGGACTGAACTCCGTCGAAAGCCGCGTGGCGCAGCTTCAAGAACAACTCGCGGAGCATTCTAGAGGTGCGGCAGCCTTGCAACTGAGAGCCGAGGCCACCGAAGGCAGGCTAACAACTGCCAGGGCGTTGCTTCAGAAACTGGACACAGAGCACCGTGATTGGCAGACACAGTTAGAGGAGTTGACCGCTAGGAAAGAGAAGTTGGACGTCGAGGCTGCAAATGTCGCTTCGCTGTTGGTCTACGAGGTAATCGTCCCTGGGTAGCCTCAGGTCTCGAGTCACGTTGCTACCGAACTCTGCTTAATTACTCTGCTTAATTACTCAGTTGTTCGGTTAATTAGCTAATTATACCAGTCACTTGATTATGAAAACTGTATTATCAAAATTAAATACTCGATTACGTAGGTATTGTTTTTGGAATTCTGGATTTCTGTATTGGGTTCTGTATTTCTGTATTCCAAAATTAGGCAAGTTTTTCTTATTAGCAGGTTTTTCGATGACACAGCTCTACAGGTAGAGCTATTATTTATTATTATTATTGAGATTATTTGAAGTAACTTTTCCCTCAGCGAAAATCCGATCCGCGGCTTCGTTTATAAGTTATTAACGAAAAACAGTGACCAATGAGAGACAAGATTAACTGGCGCGAAGCCGCCGGGCCAATGATCGGTCGAAGCCCATTTCTGCTCATTGGCTCGGCCGCCACGCGCCAACGGAACTCGCCTCTTATTGGTCAGTGTTTTTCGTTAATAACTCGTGAAAAATGCCTCGGAGAAAATTTTTGTAAAGGAAAAGGTTACTTCAAATGACCTCAGGAACCCCTCATTTCCCGCTTGTACAATAATTTTGGGATATCCTACATAGTTAAAAGAATGACAATATTACTATTATTAATATAATTTATTTCATGTAAAATAAATATCGTTTGCATCGACGAAACGAAAAACTGAAACGAAAAATGAATTTGTTTCTTCCTATTTTATGATAACGTATTGATGATCTTATATTCCTCTAATCATTGCGTTGTTTGATATTTCACCTATAAATTTCTGTCATGAATTCATACAATTCGCAATCCGCTTACTGGCTTTGAACAATTGTTTACGTGTTATCGTGACCATAAGCCGTGGCCACTAGGTAAATCGTTAAACTTCTTTTGCAAAAAACGAGTCGGCCAAGACCTGATCGACCTGTGTCAAGTTGCGAAACGGGAATCATTTGAATGAGCATGTCACCAGAATCCGGGGAGAGACGACAAATGGAAAAAGTTGGCGATCGATCTGCTGATCAGCGAGAGGGAGCGTCTTCTATGGCGAGCTCAGGGTCTGCCAGCTGACACCGGAAGTCTCGTGGCAGCTTCGTGCGCCCTGAGAGGCCCGTTGGTCCCCATCTTCGTGGACCCGTCCGGCGTAGCCGTCGCCTGGCTGAAGAACAACATCGGCTCTCGCATGGAGGTCACCAGGCCGGAAGACGGGAAGTTCCTGACCGCTTTGGAGCTGGCCGTGCGATTCGGGAAACCGTTGTTGGTCGAGGAGCTCGTCGAGTTCCCCTCGATATTGTTGCCGCTGCTGCGTCGGCGTCCCCTGAGGCTCGGTGAACGAACTTTGCCGCCTCCGCAGGGCTTCAAACTTTTCCTCGCCACCAGACGGGACAGATTGGATGGTTTTCCGAAGGAAGTTGACGCGGTCTTGTTCAAGATTGCCCTCGGGGCCAGCACTAAGAGCCTGGCGGAGCGATTCGTCGAGAGGGTGAGAATCGTTTCACGGGAAATTGCGGCGTTTCACGTGCCTAGTCGACCGGCGCACCTGGATTCGACGCGTTGGCCAGGGCTTGTTGGTGTCTCGAAGCCGGGTCTTCTTGGGCAAATTTGCAAAACTCGCCATTTTTCTCCCGTTGCGCTCGGAGAATAAAAAAGAAATCTACCAAAAACTCGAACTCGAAAATTTGACAGGAGATTGCATCGATGCAGGTTTTATTAAACAAATTTTGAAGATGATTCAGAAACCTTGGTGAATAATTTATAAACACTTCTACTTGTTTGGCCTCTTTAACGATGTAACGATGTTTCTTTCATATCTTTTGATCTGTGTTGGATCTATTCGAAGATTCGATTTGAACACTGGGAGACAGATTTTGCGTGGAAATAGCAAATGAATAGATCAAACAGATCAAAAGATATGAAAGGAACATCGTTACATCGTTACATCATTACTCGAAAATTTGACAGAAGATTGTAGAAGATTTTGATTTCAGACAGAAGATTTTGATTTCAGATCAAAAGATATGAAAGGAACATCGTTACATCGGAACATCATTACTCGAAAATTTGACAGAAGATTGTATCCATGCAGATTTTATTAAACAAATTTTGAAGATAATTAAGAAACCTTGGTGAATAATTTATAAACACTTCTACTTTGAGAGTACAATTCCTGCTGTGGACGCAGGCCTCTTTGTCAAATTTTCGAGTTCGAGTTTTTAGTAGGTGACTACCAATTTCATAAAACCTTAACATCTACGGTCTCCTGATATCAAAAGAAGACATAAACGCGGATGACGTCTTTTTGATAGATCTTGTCGAAGAAGGTAGTCCAATTACCAGGCCACTCAGCCGCCGAGGATTTTTCGGTGAAATTGTGTGCACTCGAGATAAAATTCTTGAAATCCAGTTTGCTCGTTAAAAACTCCGGTTACTCTTGATGTCAAATAAAATGGTTAATAACTTCTCCGCGAAAGAAATCGCCGCCAGGGGTAGAGATTGAAAGGCTCGTGATTCGTGGAGAGGGTGGCGCGGCCGGCGTAAAATTAATTACCTTGTCGACAGGTTTTGTTAAAGGAAACGCCGGAGTTGGCAACGAAAAGGAAAGAGGCACTGGAACGGGAAGAAAAATTGTCCGGCGAACGGGACACGGCGAGATTGGATCTGCTGGCGCAGTTGGCGACCGCGAGGGGTCAAGACCTCCTCCAGGAGTCTGAAGGATCCCAGGGTGGACTCTTGTCATCGTTGGAGGCCACTCAGTCGAAAGCGAAAGAAATCGCGTTCGCTCTCGAAGAAAGCCGCAGAAGCTTGGAGAACGTTTCCAGGTGGGCGAAAATCTATTAGACCGGCACACCATTTTTCATTCCTGCTGATAGAGGATCGTCCTGGGGTCGCGACGTTTCGCTTGATACTTATCCTACGTGGATTTATGGTATTACGCTTGCTAACGCTCCGCGACTATCTCTCAATATTGTATATATAAAAATATATATTTCTCTTGGCTGTGATCTCTTCTGTGATCTTATTTTTATATATTCATATATTTTGCGATAGTCACACAATATATTTTGATGACACTCCTTAATCCCGTAATAATAATCTCTTAAGCTTGAATTTTATACCGATTTGTTAAGACAGAATAAAATTCTGTTCTCTTGTCATCGATATTTAGGCATCCAAATAAATTTAGGCATACGATAAACTTCCTTTTTCTGCTAAGATGTGATTACAATCGAAAAAGGCATCTGCAAACATCCGTTAATATTTTAAGTAACAAGGACAAATTTCGTATGAACTCCATTCTTGAGCATTCATTTATTTTTATTTCTGAAATCTCTGAGCCTCAACAAGACTCATTCGTTCTCTCCGTCTACATAACATTATAAAATATTAGTTATTATTATGATTATTATTTCTTATGCACTATGATGTTGTACACCTTTGTGTGAACTTCGTGTTTAAATATTAATTTACTTAAACCTGTTCTTCGTCTTGAATACACCTCGTATACAATAAAAAATAGTTTTTGGGATATTACAAAAATTAGGTTCCCGTTTTATTTTCAGGAGAGCAAAGGAGCACGAGAAACTGGCGAAGTTCGCAGCCAGTTTGTACAAGACAGTGAGGGCTCTGACAGCCTTGAGTCCGCTTTACGTTTTTTCTGCGGAAGCTTTCACGGACATTTACCTGGAAGCCGAGGATTATAGGAATTCGATAGTGTCTGAGGATAAGAAAGAGCAGGATAAACTGATTGAGAAACGGCGAGTAGATTTTCCTTCGGAAATAGTCACACTTTCTCTAACACCTCAATTTTACTTTGCCGTGCACTCCATGGTCCAACACCAATTCATTTCACTCTCGCTTCGAACAATTGTTTCAAGCTGCGAAACTTCATATCTCCGAGCTGTGAATTTACCCTAGACTTCGCTTCTGTTGCGAAAGTTTAGGAAAGATCCGATCCGATAGAATCCTAACTGCAGGACGACGAATTTAATCTGCAAACAGGGCGATTTGCGAAGGATTAAATCTGATTTTCAAAGGGTTAAATCTGATTTTCAAAATGGTAGATCTGATCTTGCAGAAGGGCGACGTTTGCGGTGCAAATCCAGTGGAAAATAAACAGGACCTCGTTTGCACGCCGCCGGGATGAAAGCTCAAAGATCAGGCGAACTCGGGTAATCGTAGTAATTTGCCAAAGGCCCTGTTTTCTCTGCGTTACAGATTAATAAGTTTAACCCTGTACCACTGCGCGAAAGCGGTCTACAGGAAGCACCGGCTGCCTCTGGCATTGCAGCTCGCGCTCTCGTTGCATTCGGTGCCAGACGTCGAGAGGAACTTCCTGCTGGGCGAAGTGCTATCGAACGACGACGGGGATTCTGATTACAGAGTGCCTGAATGGGTGCCCGAGGAGCGACGGCTCTCCGTCCGCGCTTTGGTGTCAGCATTGCCTCATGTAAAACGAGAAACCTGTCCATTCAATAAGCACCAGCTCGGTGCTCCGTTAGTTGCAATAAACGCATTCACCGAAACATTTTAATACGCTTTATTCAGGTCGCCGCGAAGATGAAGCCCGCCTATCTGAACGATGCCAGCAACATTTACGCGGAGACCGAGTTGACCACGTTCCGGAAGATCCTGCTGATCAAGACATTGCGACCTGATTATCTGTACACCGCACTGACGAAACTGGCTGCGGAAGTTTTGGGTAACTTTTCTTCATCCGTTAAGTCCCGAGCGACGAAGTCGCTAGAAGAAGCACGAATGTTGCCAGATAATTTCTGGACCGGGGGCTTCTTAAAATTGAAAGGAATATTATATTTTCGATGGGGTACTAGACTGCGGATTTATACGCAAAATAAAAATTGTCCGCGGTAATTGAAAGATACGGAAGCTACATGGACATTTATTTCGTTTCTGATTCATTTTACCGAGCTGCAAATAATGCAATGATATTTTTAAATTCTTTAAACGTTTTTATTGTTTGGTATTTGACATAATCATTTTTATCAGATGCATAAGATCCGTAGTCTAGTTGAAGTAAAACAAACGAACAATTTCTGAAAAATTAAAGGGTGTAAATATACAGGGTGTCCCAAGATCGTTGTGCAAGCGGGAAATGAGAGGTTCCTGAGGTCATTTGAAGTAACTTTTTTCTTAGCGAAAATGTAATCCGCGGCTTCGTTTACGAGTTATTTAAGAAAAATACTGACCAATGAGAGGCGAGCTCGCTTGACGCGAGGCTGAGCCATTGAGACGAACTGGGCGTCGACTGCTCGTTGGCTCGGCCGCTTCGCGCCAGCTGATCTCGCCTCTCATTAGTCACTGTTTTTCGTTAATAACTCGTGAACGAAGCCGTGGATTGCATTTTCGCTAAGGAAAAAGTTACCTCAGGAACCCCTCATTTCTTGCTTGTATAATAATTTTTTGACTCCCTGTATATATTCAGGTATTAATTACAGGGATTATGTATCTAGATATCATATACATAGATTTGAAATGAACATTTAGTATAGAAGCACTCGTATAAGTCTTTTAAAGATTCTTATCTTTCTCTTCATCGTTATCCAAACAAGAAGAACTATCAGATACGTATTAAATCCTCTTATTTCTAATTACCTGTCAGGTGTGAAAGAACTAGCTCCACCGCCATGGTCCCTGAGGAACGTAGCCGAAGAACAAGCTTCGTATCCCGTGTTGCTGCTACTATCTCCGGGAGCAGATCCTGGCTCAGAGCTGCAAGGTCTAGCGAACAATCAGGTTGCATCCGCGACAGGATTCACCGAGGTGTCTTTAGGCCAGGGTCAAGTCGCACAGGCCGAGCTCGCGTTGGAAAGTGCTTGTCGGTAATTAGAACGTTAACTGAACCAATAATTTAGAAACATTTCCTCCGTTCTATTTTTCTATCTATGCCTCAGTTGTATGAACATCCTCTGGCTACTTGAAAGTTCCACAGTAATGAAAAAATAGTAGACTTCAGAGTCTCTCCAAGGTCACATCTTCGTACATGGATGAACATGACGATGTTGGCTACACGACTAAGGCACATGAGTGACCTCGAAGAAAATTTTTCAATAATGATATTTATAGAAAACTATTCTGCCACCTATCTCTCCATTGCATTGCAAATTATTCTCGTTGATGGAAGAAGTATTGAGCTGGCCTGTTTCAAGCTAAACAGCTCATAAAGTTAATGCGATCGTGTTTAAATATATGTACAGAGTGTCCCAAAATTATGGTATTTCCGAGGAATGAGGGATTCCTGAGATGATTTGAAGCAACTTTTTCCTTTACAAAAATTTTCTCCGAGGCATCGTTAACGAATTATTAACAAAAAACACTGACCAATGAGAGGCGAGATTGGCAGGCGCGAGGCGGCTCAGCCAACGAGCGCGCGAAGCTCAGTTCCGCTCGGTCGCCTAGCGCCAGGCGAGCTCGTCCTTCATTGGTCATTGTTTTTTGTTAATAACTCGTAAACGAAGCCACTGATTGCAATTTCGCTGAGGAAAAAGTTACTTCAAATCACCTCAGGAACACCTCTTCTCCCGGAAGTACCATAATTTCGGGACACTCAAATATATATATGCGTCATATCTTCTTGTCCATCCTATAAACTTTCTTCATCATTCGTAGCATGTTGCTATTTATGGTGTACGATGTTGACCTTGGCTCAGCGTAGACATGCTGAATAAGTCTCCCTGCGCAGACAATAAAATGTCATGTTGTCACTAAGCTTACCAGGTTGCAATCGGAGCTGAGAATACAATAGACTCGGTATGATCCGCATTTATAAAACTTGATGGAACAATCGAACATGCTCCAAACAGAAACGGCAACTGGCTGCTGCTGAGCAACCTGCACCTAGCTCTGAACTGGTTGCCCCGTTTGGAGAGCCTGCTACGGTCCCCCATGTGCACCATCAACAAGAACCCATCCACCAGGATCTGGCTGACCACAGAAGAGTGTTTAGGCTTCTACCCAAGCCTAGCAGGCCTCTGTCTGAAGCTGGCTTACGAAGCGCCGGAAGGAGTGAAAAGGAATGTGAAGCGGTCTCTTCAACAACTTCAGCAGAGACAGCAGGACCGCTTGAACGTTCCCGGAGGCGTTCTATTGTCCTGGCTGCACGCGACCCTTCAGGAACGACGGAAATTCGTTCCCGAAGGTTGGATCCGACCGTACGAGTGGAACGAAGCGGACATAGAGGCTGCCTACGAGCTGGTGGTCAGGGAGATACCCTCGAAAAGGAACAAGGACAACGACGGATCCTGGCAGACTGGCAGAGGACTGCTAGACGTCGCCATTTACGGAGGCAGGCTGCAGGATGACTACGACATGAGGGCTCTGTGCTCCATTGTCCGCGATATCTGGTCCGCCGAGGTCTACGAAGGCAGGAGGAAGCTAGCCGGAATCCTCAGGATCACCGGGAGCTCCTTCGAGGATGCTCTCAATGTCTTGGAACAGGTTCCTGACAGCGATTCGCCTAGAGAATTCTTCGGACTTCCGGCAAACGCGCACAGAGCCTGGGAGAGGGGCGCTGCCGAAGCTGCTCTGTCCCATCTGAAAGGTTTGTTCTATCTGCTTATTTGATTAGTCCGGTAATTAGCTGATGACGTAGTTAGTTCCTCGGGCTTTCCCTTGGGTGATGACATTTAAGGACTGGTCTTCTCTCTTTTGACTTCTCTGTGGGCAGTTTTTTTCTTGCATTTTACTACTTTTTCTTGCTGTAGTTCTTTGGATTGAGTTTGTTTCCTTTTGTTGTATCTTTGGTTACTTGTTGTGACTTTGGCTATTTGTTGCTCGAAGCAACATTGGTAGTCTGCGGATCTTACGAATTTATTGTCATGAATAACAGAATTATATATTTATTGTAAACTGTTGTTCGTTTAGTCGGTTACTGTGGCGTGACCAATTGCTGTGTCTTTGGTCTGTTTTCGGTCATAATAAATAAATAATAATAAATATAACTGATCGAATAAGATATATTAGAAATTTTATTTATTTTTATTTATTTTTATTGCTGCATACAAAAATCTAATATGTTTTCTTTGATAAAGAACGCCCGAATGCAAACCAGAGGCACAGCAATTGGTCACCCCACAATAATCGGCTCCTCTACCCTATGTTTTCTTTTGTTTGTCAAATTTTCCAATTCTCCATTGTAGACCTTTATTTTATTATTATTAATACACGGAGTGTATTATAGTTATATGTCACGGCTACCACAGCGTGATTCTACTATTTCGTTAGCTTCAATTACACTATTTTATTAGTGTTGTGCAAATGGATTTGAAGCTCAAAACGTATTATTTAATTTACGACGTTTCAGAATTGCAATCAGTTTGCAGCAATCCAATGTTTTCTTCCCAAAACGTCGAACCGCATCGATCCATCCTTTGCACTCGAATGGTGTCTTAAATTGTTATTTCACGTTTCAAAATAATTTGTTAACAATTCTGACAATTCTAACAGTTCTGTTAAGAGTGTAATTACCGTATGCAATCACAAGACTTAATTTCGGTGACGGTGACGTAACTGTACAGGTGTCCTGCTGAAAGTGTCGGTCGGCGACGAAAGGAACGACAGCAGAAAAACCGAATCGAGAATTCAGAGGGACTTGAAGGATCTGATCGAGCGTCACAGCTCGATCTTCGCCTTGCCGCCGATGGGAAGCGGCGGGATCAAGAACCCATTGGAACGGTTCTTCGTCGACGAGCTGAATTTAACCAAGAATACACTGAATCTTATTCGAGCAGACGCTGATAGTCTGCGTTTCGAGGACTCGAAGGTGAGCGACGGAGGAAAGACACTACGGTAATGTCTCTCTAATTGACGCTCAGATTGTCTACAAAAATGGACAATTCGGGAAGAGGAGATACGATTATTCGAGCGTTGCTGTTCGTTTTCATAGCTACGAATTGTCAAGAACTATAAAAACGAGCTGCAACGCTCGAATAATCGTATCTCCTCTTCCCGAATTGGGATATTGGGATATTGTACACTGCGTATCGTTTCTGACTTATCGGAAAGCACAGTTTCGTTTACATTAGAACTCCATTGGTATGAACCCGTCGGGAGATAAATTGGTTTCGCATAATCAGGCGGTCCATACGAGAGAATGAACTCATTCATGTCTCTGACTGTGATTAACGATCGAACTTTTTCGAATTTCGCAGACACCAAAATGCTGGTTAGACGAATGGAAATACGGGCCGAAGGACGTCCTGCCTTTCGTGAAAGGATTACTGTCCAGATACCAAACCCTAGAGACGATGCTGTCGATCTCTTCGTCCATAATTGACATGTCCCGATTGGCCAGGCCGCGGGCGTTCCTCACGGTCCTGAAGCAGCACACCGCCAGGGAAACTAGACAGCCTCTGGAAAATCTTCGGCTTCGTGTCAACTGGATTGAAAAACAGAGGAGGGAGGAGTGGAAGATATCGTTGATCATCGAAGGCCTGCTTATATCGGGTACTAATCCTCTGATTGCGGATAGTTTCCATTTTTAGCTTCTGCGTCTTTTAATTAGTACAGTAATGTCTCCCTAACTGACGCTCAGATTGTGCACAAAAATGGACAATTTGGGAAGAGGAGATACGATTATTCGAGCAGCTCGTTTCTATAGTTGTTGACAATTTGTGACTATAAAAATGAACCGCAAGGATCGAATAATCGTATCTCCTCTTCCTAAATAGTTCATTTCTGTGGACAATTTGAGCGTCAATTAAAGAGACATTATATGTACAGTAATGTTTCCTTAACTGATGCTCACATTGTACACAAAAATGGACAATTTGGGAAGAGGAGATACGATTATTCGAGCAGCTCGTTTCTATAGTTGTTGACAATTTGTGACTATAAAAATGAACCGCAAGGATCGAATAATCGTATTTCCTCTTCCTAAATAGTTCATTTCTGTGGACAATTTGAGCGTCAATTAAAGAGACATTATATGTACAGTAATGTTTCCTTAACTGATGCTCACATTGTACACAAAAATGGACAATTTGGGAAGAGGAGATACGATTATTCGAGCAGCTCGTTTCTATAGTTGTTGACAATTTGTGACTATAAAAATGAACCGCAAGGATCGAATAATCGTATTTCCTCTTCCTAAATAGTTCATTTCTGTGGACAATTTGAGCGTCAATTAAAGAGACATTATATGTACAGTAATGTTTCCTTAACTGATGCTCACATTGTACACAAAAATGGACAATTTGGGAAGAGGAGATACGATTATTCGAGCAGCTCGTTTCTATAGTTGTTGACAATTTGTGACTATAAAAATGAACCGCAAGGATCGAATAATCGTATTTCCTCTTCCTAAATAGTTCATTTCTGTGGACAATTTGAGCGTCAATTAAAGAGACATTATATGTACAGTAATGTTTCCTTAACTGATGCTCACATTGTACACAAAAATGGACAATTTGGGAAGAGGAGATACGATTATTCGAGCAGCTCGTTTCTATAGTTGTTGACAATTTGTGACTATAAAAATGAACCGCAAGGATCGAATAATCGTATTTCCTCTTCCTAAATAGTTCATTTCTGTGGACAATTTGAGCGTCAATTAAAGAGACATTATATGTACAGTAATGTTTCCTTAACTGATGCTCACATTGTACACAAAAATGGACAATTTGGGAAGAGGAGATACGATTATTCGAGCAGCTCGTTTCTATAGTTGTTGACAATTTGTGACTATAAAAATGAACCGCAAGGATCGAATAATCGTATTTCCTCTTCCTAAATAGTTCATTTCTGTGGACAATTTGAGCGTCAATTAAAGAGACATTATATGTACAGTAATGTTTCCTTAACTGATGCTCACATTGTACACAAAAATGGACAATTTAGGAAGAGGAGATACGATTATTCGAGCCTTGCAGCTCGTTTTTATAATCGTTGACAATTCGTAACTATAAAAACGAACCGCAAGCCTCGAATAATCGTATCTCCTTTCCCCTAATTGTCCATTGTCAATTAGAGAGACATTACTGTATATGAAATTTCGTGTGCATAGACATCGGTAAGCTATTCACAAGCGATTGTTATAACAGATGGAATGTTGTTTTGATTTTGTGAACGCAGGTGCGGTGATACAAGATGGCGTCTTGAAGGACCTAGATGCGAACGCGGCGTCGGTCGCAGCGGCACCCAGTTGTCAGATCGCATTTCTTCCGGAGAATTATGCCGACGATAAAGTGGGTACTAACGTGATGGGTGATTATTTGCGGAATTTCGAAGAGGATATTCTTAATATCCCGGTGTACGCGACCTCGCAAAGGGATATGCTGATCTGCTCGCTACCGATTAGGTGTCCGAAAGAGGATCAGGACATTTGGTTGCGTCGGGGTGTTGCTTTCCATTTGAAGCTGACATAATTCTGTAATGGTGATTTGTTCTACTAAACTACGAAGTATAATAATGTCTCCCTAATTGACGCTCGGATTGTACACAAAAATGGACAATGTGGAGGAGACGCGATTATTCGAGCCTCGTTGCTCATTGTTATAGTTGCCGATGGCCAACAATTATAAAAACCAGGTGCAAGCATCGAGTAATCGTGCCTCCTCTTCCCAAATTGTCCATTTTCCAATTTGAGCGTCAATTAGGGAGAGTTTACTGTACTTACAAGATATTCTGTGAAACTTTGATGAAACATCTTTAAACTCAAAGATTAGGGCTGCAAATAAACAGATGATTGAAAGCAGTTAAAGAAATTTGATATTAAATTAAATTTGCTAGTAAAAACCAGTGTACAGAAAATTTTGTTAGGCACACAGGAGACAGGATCAGTGTAGCGTTAATTTTCACTTTGACCAGAAATTGTAACAATACACACCAACGAGTAACATCTTAGTAACAAGTTCAATTAGTTTTAACGATTTAATCGAGTCACTTACTACAGTAGAATTTTTTTATACAATCTAGTACGTATTAGTATTAATTTCATTTGAACTACCGTGTGCTAATTTGGAATATTCTGCAGCAATTATCGTTGTCGCTTGGTCGTTGTGGTTAGTGCATATTGTACGAAAAATGCGGGCAATAAATCACACTTGTACCGTACCGTTTCTATTCAAATCTCTGTGAAACATAATTAATTATTTTTCAGAATCACTGTACAAGGTCCTCGCAATTTCCTCCTAAATTATTCATTACGAAATCCACAACGAAATTAATTGATTCAATGCCAGATCCTATCGCACAATTTCTTAATAAATCGTTAATGTTCTACCAACGAATTACATTGGCAAAACTTCGCCGGAGAGCAGTGCGGCATTCTTTACAAGGCTGGAAGCTGGTGAGATATCATGATAGTGAAGGACCGCGATAAAATTCCGCTCGGAGGATAGGAATAGAGCGGATTTCTAAAATGAATTTAACCGGGAGCAGAGGAACGGCGCCCAGGAGGAACATCGAACATCGTTGAATTGTTAATGAAACGTCCACTCGACTCACGGAATCTCGAGCGAGCAAACACGAGCGAATCGATCTTCGTTATGGTCCCGGTCGCTGGTCTCGCGTGGCCGGAAATTCGCATTGTTTCGACGGCCCGCGCTTGTTACCCCCGACATGTCCCACAAAACAGCGAGAGAAAATAAGAAGAGAACGCGAAGGATAACGGTCCTCTGGGAGATTCGCGGATCCCTTTTTTCGTATCGCTTCGTCTCGGCGAACGAGCGTCGTCGCTCTTGATATTTTTGCTTGACGCGATTACGCGTGGCCGCGATGTGCACGAGAGCCTTTGGATCGTTCCCATTGTGATCGCTCAGGGCTCTTCTTCTTCCTGCTAACCGTGAATTAATGTGAGTCATCTGTGGGTCGTGGACAAACAAGGATCAGTGGCGAGACTGTCTCTTATACACATCTAGATGTGTATAAGAGACAGTCTCGCCACTGATCCTTGTTTGTCCACGACCCACAGATGACTCACAATAATTCACGGTTAGCACTGTCTCTTATACACATCTAGATGTGTATAAGAGACAGTCTCGCCACTGATCCTTGTTTGTCCACGACCCACAGATGACTCACAATAATTCACGGTTAGCACTGTCTCTTATACACATCTAGATGTGTATAAGAGACAGTGCTAACCGTGAATTATTGTGAGTCATCTGTGGGTCGTGGACAAATAAGGATCAGTGGTGAGAAGGGCAAGTACGCGATTATTGCTCGAAACACAATTATTTCAAAAATAATAGCGTGGACCCATATATTGGATTATTTTCTCTCTTTTGAATATTCAGAAGTTTTTCCTTCTAGCATATAAGTTACAAAAACGAATCGACGCCGAGAGTCTCGCCAGAGTACCATTAGATAAACAATGATTTCATATGTATATAGAACAGAGTGCTCTTTGTCTTTAGGTGACGTTTTTGGTTTCGTCTTTGTGAATAGTCTTCAGTCTCCTGGAGCAATCAGGAGAGTAAAGACGGTCCTTCCTCGTACATCAAATTAATAAACTAAAAGGGATAAGTTTAATTCACTGCGTTTTACTTTTATTTATCTACCCATTTCCAATACCATATTTTTTGAATTCTGAAGCAGATCTGGATTCCAATATTTTAGAAAATATATAGCGCCATCTTGTTTTCTCGAGTGGGGTCCGCTTTCCCATTGTGATCGCTCAGGGCTCTTCTTCTTCCTGCTAACCGTGAATTATTGAGTTATCTGTGGGTCGTGGACAAACAAGGATCAGTGGCGAGAAGGGCAAGTACGCGATTATTGCTCGAAACACAATTATTTCAAAAATAATAGCGTGGACCCATATTTTTTGAATTCTGAAGCAGATCTGGATTCCAATATTTTAGAAAATATATAGCGCCATCCTGTTTTTTCGAGTGGGGTCCGCTTTCCCATTGTGATCGCTCAGGGCTTTTCTTTTTCCTGCTAACCGTGAATTATTGTGAGTCATTTGTGGGTCGTGGACAAACAAGGATCAGTGGCGAGAAGGGCAAGTACGCGATTATTGCTCGAAACACAATTATTTCAAAAATAATAGCGGGACCCATATTTTTTGAATTCTGAAGCAGATCTGGATTCCAATATTTTAGAAAATATATAGCGCCATCTTGTTTTTTCGAGTGGGGTCCGCTTTCCCATTGTGATCGCTCAGGGCTTTTCTTCTTCCTGCTAACCGTGAATTATTGTGAGTCATCTGTGGGTCGTGGACAAACAAGGATCAGTGGCGAGAAGGGCAAGTACGCGATTATTGCTCGAAACACAATTATTTCAAAAATAATAGCGTGGACCGATATTTTTTGAATTCTGAAGCAGATCTGGATTCCAATATTTTAGAAAATATATAGCGCCATTTTGTTTTCTCGAGTGACATCCTGGCGCAATTAATTGCAAGAAATAATTTTTAGGAGTTGTATATAATCAAAAATGAAATTAAATAGACAGTGAAAGTAGGTATTAATCTGTTGTTATCGAGGACGTAGTAGTAATTAATAATTTCTCGAACATTTACAACGGAAAATGTCAAGAGATCGGAAGCAGCACAACAGAAATAAAGTTCGATCATTCTATGTCGATATAAAGTAGATATTCATGCGCGCAAAACACTTTTTTCGTATTTCTCAAGGATAAGAGACTTGGGAAGGTGAGAAAGTGGATGGGTTCGCGCTTTCGACAATAAACACCGTCCGCTCGAGAATCAGAAATCTTTTTATTACTTATAAAGTAATCGCTTGATACATCCTTCTAATCAGAAGTTACTCGTACAAGTTACATAGACTCAGAAAATAGCGAGAAGTGATTGGAGAAGTCATTGCAATTACACGGATCGCTCCTTTAACGACGTTGGTCCGAGTCTCTGTCGCTCTTGCCAGATGCCAGCGTCTCGCGGAATCGATCGGTTTCGGAAGGAAGCTTTTAATTAAAAAGCTATTTGTCCAGCGGAAGCGCCCTTTTAATAGTTCCGCTGCGACAGTTCTTCGGGTGAACTTAAAAAAGTTAATTTTTAACCGTTCGGAAATTGCATCGGAATACGTGCTACGAAGTACCAGTGTGCGAATATTTTTTCACTTTTCTTTCATGTTTTCGATACAGAACGAACGCGTGATCGTCCATGTTGTAGCAATCGCTGTTTCGGCGAAAGGGTTCGTTTGGAACAAAAATATTAGCTGCATCAGCAGGTAATGTACATATTTCGAAGAATTCTACGATAGCAATTCAAACGTATCTTCATCGAGAAGTGTCTCATATCGTTTCGCAGAGAGGATGGCGTGCTTGCAATTGAAATTCTATGGCATTCCATTGAAAACATTAGCGGATTGTCCATAGTGCGATTGAGTGCGTAAGTTTTGCTAGATTCCGAGTGGAAAATAATTTATTATAACACGTTTTACCGCGTGTGCGAAGCGGTTCGATGTTGTTGCAACTCGCGGCCGCTTGCGTTGATTGGCAACTATTTCAAATCAATCAAAACTTTTGCACTCCGCAGACTTCCAAACGTTTTCTACGGTGTCAAAACCATTAAAGCTCTCGCAGCGATCCAATATTCAACGAATCGATACACTTTTTCCGTACAATTACACAGTCGTTCTCTGCGACATGGTCGACTTATACGAACGTACGCAAACGCGTGCGTGCGCAAACATTTTCACGATATTTCCTGTACAAACCAGCTCAGTCTCGAGCTAACGTGACCGCTTAGGGCTACTTCCCCCCTATTTCCGACATCGTAAATATTTCCAAGGAAACCCGAAGAACCGGCGCGAAGGAGAACCTGAGGAATTTCTGTAAATCGTGTAGCGCTTCCGTCCGAATCGAATAATAATCGATCTCTTGTGGAGGAGCCGCGGCTTGGCAAAGACGCGGCACAGAGAACGGAGCCAAGTATTCGCGAATAACGAAACACGAACGGAACAGAGCCCCGGCCGGTGTTGCCGAGGGTGAAAATCGGAGTATTTGGGTCGACGTTCACAATATACGCGGCGCGGCGCGGGCGACAACAGCGGCCCTTTTGTTCCCCGGTCCGCCGCAGTCAAAACAGACCGCCTGCAGTCTAAATTAGCGGCGTGCACTCAACCGGCCGACCGAAATCATTCCGACGAATCAATTTAAAATATTTCGCCCGTTTAGCGAGGCTCGAAACTCGTCTCCGATCGCGCGACGATCGCAGCCTAATTTTCTTAACGCCGCACCGTGGACGGGTAACTGGGATCCACTGTGGCAAAAATACAATTTTCGAACCTCCGTATTTAGACAAATTTTTTGTTCGCGAAAATCTGTTGGATTTTGTTGAATTTGTTAGTATCCTGGTATCCTGTCAGAATTACAGAATACGAATGTATACTTTCGACGTGATAATATTCTAGCTGATTTCGACGCGAATTCTCGAGCTTCCATATTATAATGTTAAACCTCGAAACAACGTTAAAATAATTCAAGCCACAGAAAGCGAATTCCCAGCCACCACTGTGCGCCGAGCGATTCCGAACGAAATATCGCGGAAACCA